CACTGGGGATGGAGCCCACAACCAGGGCATATGGCCTGATCGGGAATCTAACTGTGACCTCCTGGTTCATAGGTCCACGTTCAACCCCTGAGCCACGGCTGGCCAAACAGTTGGCTTTCTTCATTAGAATGAATAATGAGGCCTTCTCCAGCCCGGCCACTTGCTCCAGCCCATCTTGGCATCCTCGGGTCCCATGGGCTCTGCAAGCGCCCCACCTGGCCCTCCTCCCGCGGGCCCCCAGAGGACTCCCCACAGGAGCTGACGTGTTCTGGCGAGGCCCCGGGCGCGCGGAGAAATGGGGACCTGCTGCCGAGCGCCTCCCCTGCTGTGGGCGAAGGGGCACCATCCCTGGCGTCAGGACCGCACCCAGCCCAGGTGGGCCGGGAGCCGCACAGCCAGGCTCCTGGCTCCCGCCCCGCCCGCACCCTACACTCCGCCCCTCCCAGTGAGGCTGTGCGGGTCGCGTCTTTTCTCCGCCAACAAGTCACCTCAGGCCCGGCCCCAGCGTCCCCGTGGGCCTTCGCCATTGGCCTTCCCCGCGGTTAAGAAGCGACCGGCTCCTCATTGGCCGCACATTCTCCCGCGCGCGCCGCAGCCACCACAACAACCGCCACGTGCTCCACGGTAGGGCCTGCTCATTGGCCCGCAGTCTCCACCCGTCCCGCCCCCAAATTACCGCTTCCTCCTCCTATTGGTTACCTGGCCGCAGGCCCCACCCCAAGGGCCTGGGCACGAAGCGTCTCCCACGCGGATTGGTTGGAGGTGGGAGGGCGGGGCTCGGAGGCGGGTTAAAGAGCCCGCAGTCGTTGGGGCCACGTGTACCTGCGGAGGTTCAATGGCGTGGCGGGGGCTGGCGGCCGAGTTCCTGCAGGTGCCGGCAGTGACCCGCGCTTACACCGCGGCCTGCGTTCTAACCACAGCCGCCGTGGTGAGCCTACGAGGCGGGCAGGGCGTTGCCATGGTTACAACTGGAGGAGGAGGTGCAGGTGGTTAGGGTTGGGTCCCGCGGGCAGCACCTGACCGCTCCCCTGGCTCCGCAGCAATTGGATCTCCTGAGCCCCTTCCAGCTCTACTTCAACCCGCACCTCGTGTTCCGGAAGTTCCAGGTGAGGTCGCCCCGCCCTTGCTCCCTGTCTGCCCAGCCATGTCCGCGCCGCGTCTGACCGCCTGCCTGCCTGCCCACCCCTCGCAGGTCTGGAGGCTCCTCACCAACTTCCTCTTCTTCGGGCCCCTGGGATTCAGCTTCTTCTTCAACATGCTCTTCGTGTATCCTGTGCCTGCCGGGCCCAGGAGGGGCGTGGGCAGGCCTGCCTGCCGGGCTAAGGCGGGCGGGGAGCGGGGGCACTGAGACCCAGCCAGGTGGCACTTCCTATACGGACGCCGCAGGTTCCGCTATTGCCGCATGCTGGAGGAGGGATCCTTCCGGGGCCGCACGGCTGACTTCGTCTTCATGTTTCTCTTTGGGGGCGTCCTTATGATTGTATCCTTCCTGGGTTCCGGGACCTCAGGCCAGGCACTTCTGCGCCTGGTCCTGGGGCATGGCATCAGTGCCCAGGCTGGGAGGGACAGATGTTTACTCTGGCTTAGGATGAGCAAGCATGGTGTGCTCAGCCCCAGGTGCCGATCCAAGCTAGATCTTCTAGTGTGTACAAGAACAACAACAAAAACCCCACACCCTAGGATGATTGGGAGGAGGGCCAGGTGGGGGCTTGGGGCTGAGCCCTGAATGCCAGCAGCAGGATGGGCAGTGGTGGGAGGCTGAGTGAGGCGGAGAGGCAGGGCCAGACACGTGGGACTGGAAGGCAGGAAAACCAGCAGGATTTCAGGGACTTAGCCAGTCAGGGGAGGCCTGGGCAGGGCCTCCCAGCACCTTGACTCTGGCCCAGCTGCTGGGGCTGCTGGGCAGCCTGTTCTTCCTGGGCCAGGCCCTCACGGTCATGCTGGTGTACGTATGGAGCCGCCGCAGCCCTCAGGTGAGGGTCAACTTCTTCGGCCTCCTCACCTTCCAGGCGCCGTTCCTGCCCTGGGCGCTCCTGGGCTTCTCAATGCTCCTGGGCAACTCGATCCTCGTGGACCTGCTGGGTGAGCCTCCTGCCCATCCAGCCCATCCAAGCTGGCCGCTCTGCCAGAGCCCTCCCGCCCCTCTGTCTTACAGCCCCTGAACAAGCCCGCAGGCCTATGGCTTCACACCTGCTGGTGCTTGTGTGATCCTGATGGTGGTGGGATGGGTAGGTCAGCGTTCCAGCTGTGGCGCCCACTCCGCTGTCCTCAGGTCCTGGAACACTGTCCTTCAGGGCCAGCCCAGCCCCACGCCGGGCTGGCAACCTGTGCGGGACACTGGGCACTCATGCTCTGAGGCCTGAGGTTGCTCTGGGCCTGGCTAGGCCTCTGAGCTGCAGAACAGGCTGTGCTGGCCCCGGGCTCTGGACCAGGGAGGCAGTGGCCTTGGCAGTCCTCCGCTCGCCCACAGGCATTGCTGTGGGACACATCTACTACTTCCTGGAGGATGTCTTTCCGCACCAGCCTGGAGGCAAGAGGCTGCTGCTGACCCCCGGCTTCCTGTGAGTACTGGAGGCGACGGCCCTGGCTGCTCTGTCAGACAGCTCTTGACTCCCTTGTGGACCCATGTTGGCCTCAGCTCAACCTGGGCCCCTCCCCACAGGAAGCTGCTACTGGATGCCCCAGAAGAGGACCCCAATTACCTGCCCCTCCCCGAGGACCAGCCAGGAGCCCAGCAGCAGTGACCCCACCCAGGGCGGGGCCAGCCCCAGGAGCCCGTTCCCCCAACATGTCAAACCTGTTCTGGAGGCTGGCCGTCCGAATAAACAGGATAACTTGCAGTCTCTTTGCCCACGGCACTGGCTCCCCTTGCCTCGCCTGGCCACACCCTCCCATGCCCTGCCCTGCCTGGGGAAGGATGTGCCAGCAACTAAAGGTGGCACCGTCTTCAGTAAGTGCAGCTGTGTGCCCAGTTCACCAAGCAGTGCTTGACTTAGCGAGACCCACATGTGCCCCATGTCCCTTCTGTAGAGTGGGAACATCTCCACATTAGAGATAAGGTGAGGATGACAAACTCATTGAAGGTAGAGCTGGAAAGAGGCCCAGGGCGTGCCTCCTCCTCATCCCCACCCCACAAGCCAGCGCCCGGCCAGGTGTGCTGCTCCACATGTTGCCAGCCTGGGAGGGAGGAGCTGGCCCAGGCCATGTGCCAGCCAGGGGTGGACATGGGTCCCAGGCCACGTGTTACATGCACACTACTGGGAAGTGTGGCTAGCCTGCTGCATGCCTGCTGGAGCTGGAGCAGCTGGACACAGGCACGCAGGCTGGGGGGGCCCCTGCATTGTCTACATAGGATGGGGCCTCTGCAAGGGACTCCAGAGAAGCAATGTCCTTCCTGGCTGGGATGGCCTGGTCACCTTGACCCAGCAGAGGGGAGGGCTGCCCACGGAGCATCATGACCACACCTTCCATTTCTGCTGCTCTACAAAGACCCAGGCATGGGTGGAGTGGGGAAGCTGGAGGGCCCAACAGAAGCAAGGATCAGACTCTGACTCAGTCCTGCGGGGGCTGGAGTGGCTGGGGTGGAGCCAGAGTCCCATCAGCCACCTGGGGATGGGAGGCGGAGCAGGGGAGGCCTGGCGCGCCAGCCTTGGCCACACCACCCCCAATGGCACCGGGCCCTGCTCCCTGCTCTCCATTTTTAAAAGGTCTAGTAATAATTAATGTCGTTTTCTAATACTTTTTAAAATCGGATTTATTTAAACAATACAACAAAATTTAATCAACAATATAGTTGCCGTTGTTTTCTACTACTTGTGCCCAACGCTCAGGAAGCATTTTAATCCCTCTGTTGTAAAATTCTTGTGATTTTGATGCAAAATTCGGTCAATGCATTTTTGAGGCATTCTTCATTATTAAATTTTTTTTTCCAAGAAAGTTTTGCAAAGAACGAAACAAATGGTAAACGGAAGGGGCAATATCAGGAGAATATGCAGGTTGAGGGAGAACTTCCCATTCCAACTGGCGCAGTTTTTTAGCAAGTGATTCTTGCAGTATGCAGTCGTGCTTTATCGTGGTGAAGAATTAAGCCCTTCCGATTAATCAGCGCGGGTTCTTTTTCTCTTAAAGCTTGGGCTAACCTTTCCAATTGGGCACTATACACTGCACTTGTAATGGTTTGGGTAGATGGTAAAAGTTCATAATGAAGATTCCTTTAAAATTCCACCAAACACACAACATCACTTTTTCGCATGCAAGTCAGGTTTTGGCATGGGCTGCGGAGCCTCATTTTTGTCCAACCATTGAGGCCGCCTTTTCAAATTAACATACAGCACCCATTCTTCATCTCCGATAACAATTTGCTCTAAAAACGGCAAACGGTTTTGACGAGAGAGGAGCGAACTGCAAATTGTGACTCTGATTACGGTTGTTGTCGGTCAACTCATGAGGAACCCATTTTCCAAACTTTTGGACTTTGCCAAGTGCACGCAATTGATTGGAATTGTTTTTTGTGAACAATTTAAAGTTGTCGCAAGCTCTTGTTGGGTAATTTGAGGATTTTGCACCAAAAGAGCTTGAAGAGCTTCTTGATCAAAATTGGACACACAGCCTCAACCACTCTTGTCATCTAACAAAAAATTTCCCTCGCGAAATTTCTCAAACCAAAGCTGGCATTTTCTGGCGCTAACTGCATCTTGACCAAGAGCACTACAGATGTTTTTTGCAGCCTCACTTGCTTTTCTTCCTAATTGGAACTCGTAAAGCATGCAGTGCCGAATATGCTCTTCATCCGCCATCTTCTTAGCCCTAGTTTTGCAACAAAAACCAAACCAAACACAAATTTTTTCAAGCAAAACTTGTTAATTGCACTTCACACGTTCTGTAGATACCACGTGTTTGAAGGTTATGTCAATACAAGTCAACGCCAAGCAAGATTTTAAACGAATGTTTAAAAACGACATTAATTATTACTAGACCTGATATTTTATACAGCCACTTCAAAGAAATGGAACACCACCGGTTGCCTTTTATTTAAAAAGTGTTGCTAGCCCTTCCTGGGGCTCCTATGCAAAAACAAAACAACCCAAAAGGAAGCCTCTTCCTGATGGGAGACGGGGTGGGGACTGGGGCTCAGCAATGGGAAGTGTGCAGGGGAGGGCTGCCTGGAGGCCTCCCGCCTGCCCATGCTCCTCAGGATGGCCCCGGCTGCCCCTCGCCTCCCTCTGCCAGAAGATGGAGAGGCAGGTCGGTCTTCTGAACGCTGTGTGGGAGCCGAGCACTGATGGGCTGGTTGCCAGGTTACCAGGCTGGGGCAGTGTTGGCGAGACGCCTCATTCGCCTGCAGGGAGGAAAGGGTGGTGACCCGGGGCAGCTCCCAGCCCTGGGCCACTGCCATCCCCAGGGCTCCAGGGCAGCCGGGGAGTGGAAACAGACAGGACATGGTGGGTGGGTTTCCGAGTCCCTCCCCTCCTGTGGCCTTGACTTTGGCTCTGACACTGTCCTGTCACCTGCCTGCTCAGGCCCTGCCCACCCCCTCAGGGGTCCTGAAACCTGGGTCAGGCCCAATCTCTTGCCTTTGCTCCTACACCCTAGGGGCACACAGCGCCCCCCCAGAAGGAAACGGTCGGGGGGAAATGATGGTCTGTGCCTGCCTGGAAGATGGGGCCTGAGGGCAGAGCCACTGCAGGGGTTCTGGGGGGCAGGGGAGAGTACCTCGTGTTCCTGTCCTGGTCACGGATCTTCTTTTCCATCTCGGCATCCGTCAGGGTCTCCAGCAGCGGGCACCACTGGTCAGCGTCCCCCGTGTTCCGGATAGCAATCTCCACCGTGGGCAGGGGGTTCTCACTGGGAAGGTGAGGGGAGAGAGAGGTGCTAGTTCACAGAGCAGCTGGAAAGGCCCCCAAACGATTGTCTACTTTTTTTCTTAATTGATTTTTTACAGAGAGGAAGAGAGAGGGACAGAGAGCTAGAAACATTGATGAGAGAATCATCGATCAGCTGCCTCTCCCACACCACCCACTGGGGATGTGCCTGCAACCAAGGTACACACCCTCGACCGGAATCGAACCTGGGACCTTCAGTCCACAGGCCGACGCTCTATCCACTGAGCCAAACCAGTTTCAGCACGACTGTCTACCTCTTGCCCACCAAGAGGGAGCACTGGGCCAGGGCACAGTGGTAAGGCTGGGCCTTTTCTGCTCCGCGGTCCCCCCCCACCCCCCAGCTGGGCCCATTTCCACGCTCAGCTCCTAAAGCAGCTCTCCTGACCGGCAGTGGGAAGCTCCCGTCGCCCGCGCCTCCAGGCAGGAGTGCCAGGAGCCTCCCCTGGCCACAGCAGCTGCCCCATGACCCTGGGCTTCTCTTCAAAGCGGCAGGCTCTCGGCCGCCGCCTCAGTGTCTCGGTCTGGGAGACAAGAGGGGCGTTCGCTGTGGAGGAGGTTCCCTGGACAGAACTGTGCGGCAGGCCAGCTGCTGCCACCGGGCTGGAGAGGGAGGGCTGCTGGCACTGCGCAGTGCCCAGAGCCAGGGCCACCAACTGGGAAGGCAGATGGAGGGTGAAAGGAGAGAAAAAGCAGGGGGATACCCAAGAGTCCCGGACACCCCTCACTGCGGGTGTCAGCCTGCTCCTGAATGTTCCATCCGCTTGCCGCTCAGCTCACTTCACAGGTGAAACCAACTCCAGAGACTGGACTATTGGCTGAGGGCAGAGAGCTAGGCCCCAAACTACATCACCTGTGCGTCCTTTTATCCTTTTCCATGTGGACCCGGGGGGAGGGGGGGAGAGATATCAGCCTAGGCAAAGACTCTGAAGGCACGGAGTGGGGAGAGGAGGGGAGGCGGGAGGCGGGAGGCACAGGAGCCCCAGGGGAAGGGGGTGTGGGACAGGAGCATGAGGAGGCATGGAGGCCACAACTGCCAGGAGCGGCTGCGTGCCTCCGCCCTTCAGGGCAGACAGCCCAACCCCTGGACTGGCAGACAGGCTTCGGAGCGTGGCCCTAACTGCAATCCTCTCCCGCCCTTCCCCAGGTCCCCCTCCGGCCTCCCCAGGCCCTCTTCTCCCTCCAGCTGGCCGGCGGCACCTTTCTGAGGCTCAGCCCAGGGAAGGCCTGCCCGCCCTCCCAGCTGCCAGGAGCCTCTCATCAAAGCCCGGAGCCTGTGGGGCACCACCAGCTCAGGAGCAGGGCAGGGAGGCCCAGGGAGTGCCTGGTGGGCAGGGATGGGATAAGACAGGATAGGCCCTGAGGGCGGCCACGGTTTTGATACCTCATCTGGAAAATAGGAAAGACATCGGAGGGGTTTCAGAGGATTTTGCTTGTTAAAGCAGCCAGCGTACATCCAGAGGGAGCTTCCTAAGGGCCCAGGGCCTTCTCACACAGCTGAAGCCTGTGCCCAAGGTCATGTGACTGGTTGGCTAGAGAGGTGTGTCCACCAAGGCCTGACTGCCGAGCCCCCAGCCTCATGAGGGGGCAGCCTGGGGTCGACCCCCCTCCCCCCCCCCCCGTGCTGCTCTCCTACCTGGGGTCTCGGACACCAGGTGCACAATGACACTGCTCAGGGTGCAGGCTGAGGCCGGCACCACAGCCTAGAGCTGGCCCTGGCTCCCTGCAGAAGTGGGGCTCACCTCTTGAGTCAGGCCCAGAAGCCTGAGCTCCTGCTACTGACTCTGAGGCCAGTGACAGCAGCGCCAGCCCCACCCCTTGGTACCCTGGAGCCCATCTCTCCTCATCACTCCTGACAGCTGCTGTGCAGCCTGAGCTGGCCGTTTGACAATGCAGGAACCACCAGTCACAGACCCAACATCACTCCTCACCTCGTGGGCTACCAACTAACTGCCTTTGTCAGGGGGCAGACATGAAAGGCGCCAAGCCCACACGGAGGGAGGAAAACATGCTTTCCTCTTAATTTAAACAAGAGCTGGTGCGGCGGTCCTGGGTCCCTTTGTTTACCCCCTGGGCTTGGGAAGATTCCACGCCAGTGGTTGTTCTAAAATAAGAACTGCTCAAAACAAGAAAGGGCCAGGAGCCAGCAGGCCTGACTCCGGTTTGGGGGAGGACACAGCCACAGACCCACCCTGCCTCCCACCCCTCTAAGGGAACTATGACTCATGGGCCCTAACGCCCACGGGGTCCAGGTGGGGACCCAGAGCCCAGGCGGGCAAGGTCATGTTTGAGGCCCCAGAGGGACCAGGACTGATGATACAGGATCTTGAGGTTAATTTTCAATGTGGTCGCACTTTTATGACCTCACGTGACACAACAGACCAGCTGAGAAGCATTTCTATGCCCACTGGGTAAACGAGACAGTGGGAGACGGCCTGCCTGCAGCCACTAACTGGGAGGGGGAGGAGGACACCGAACTTGATGTCATCCTCCTCTTCAAGATCAGCTGACTTTTGACAAGGGCGCCACGCCACTCAATGAGGAAAAAGCAGGCTTCCCAACAAATGGTGCCAGACAACAAGACCTGAGGTTAAGCCAGTGGTTGGCAAACTGTGGCTCTCGAGCCACATGCGGCTCTTTGGCCCCTTGAGTGTGGCTCTTCCACGAAACACCACGGCCTGGGTGAATCTATTTTGAAGAAGTGGCGTTAGAAGTTTAAAAAAATTTGGCTCTCAAAAGAAATTTCAATCGTTGTACTGTTGATATTTGGCTCTGTTGACTAATGAGTTTGCTGGCTACTGGGTTAAGCAATGGTTTCTTACATGTGACACTAAAAGCACAACAAAAGGAAAAATAGATAACAAAATGTAAAACTTGTGTACTTAAGAGCACAATAATACAAGTGAAAAGAAAAGCTACAAAATGGGAGAAAATATTTGTAAATCATGTATCTGATAAGGGACTTGTATCTAGGCTACATAAAGAACTCTTAAAGCTCAATTACAAAAACAACAAAAACCAAATGGAAAGGAAACAAATGACTGGAATAGCCATTTTCCCAACGAAGATACACAATTGCCAATTGAATGAAAAGGTGCTCAAGATCACCAGTCATTAAGGCAATGCAAATCAAAATCTCCTCACTCCCACCAACAGGACGGCTAGAGTAATCAATCCAGATAGCCCTGGCCGGTGTGGCTCTGCTGGTTGAGAGTTCTCCCATGCACAAAGAGGTTGCCAGATCGATTCCCAATCAGGGCATATGCCCAGGTTGTGGCTCAGTCCCCAGTAGGGGGCGTGCAGGAGGCAACTGATTGATCTCTCTCTCCCTCTTCCTTCCTCTCTCTCTCAAATCAGTAAAGTCAATAGAAACATTTTTTTTTTTAAGTCAGATAAATGTTGGTGAAGATGTAGAGAAGCTATGATCCTTATACTGCTGGTGGGAAAGGAAAATGGTGCCACTACTTTGGAAAGCAGTCCGACAGATCCTCAGAATGCTAACATAGTCACATGACCCAGTAATTCCGCTGCCAGGGCAGGTGAGCAGAGCTCTAGGAATAACCCCAGTGGCTCATAGTCAACCAATCGCAAGTGACTCTGGAGTCTCCAACCCTGATGCTGCTCTAGTGACTATCTCTGTTTCCCATCAGGCCTAGCTACCAGGTCCCACCTATTGACCTGTCCTGACTTCCTCTTGCCAGCACTTCACCCTAGTTCTACACTTCCCCCTCCGCCCCCCTCCCTGTGCGCACAGCCTCTGGTGCCTCCTGACCACGCACATGAGTCTCCTCGGTTAGGACACCTTACTCTGGTGTCCAGCCTGGGGCACAGGGCTGGCCTGGAGGTGCCAGTTAACTCTGCTGATGCAACTCTCCTCACATTCTCGGTGAATGTCTGACACCCTCACACGCTGTTCGCCCTGTCCCCAACCCATCTCCCACACACCGTGTCCCCCATGTCCCCCCTCCACATTCACCCACATCAGGTCAGCCCATCCCACTTGCTGAAGGGAAGCAGCCTGTTTTGCCCTGGTTCCCGACTGTGGGCATCTTGCCCCTGCTCTCCCATGGACACGACTCAATGCCATCACCGAGAAGGGCACCATAGCCAGGCACTGGCAAGAGGCCAGGACTCTCCTGGCTCCTTGCAGTTCTGTCCTGAGCGATGAAGCCTGTGACGAGCCAGCCCTGGCCAAAGGCACCTCTTCCTGTGGTTGAGCTCCCTGCACACTAACCAACAGGCTGGGCCCAAGATGAAGAGCTCACAGGCTGGTGAGCTGGAAAAACACACCAGGACATACCCCTCCCTCCAGCTTGGCTGCCCAGCTGCTGCAGAGGAATGTGCCCCCCTGGTCCCCAGTGGGGTGGCCCTGCCTTCAATCCCGAGGATGTGGAATCTGCACCCTAAGCACCAGAGACTGAGGTGGGATGGAGGTCTGTGACCGCCCCGTCCACAAAACTGGAATCCGTTAACTGGCTGCTGAGAGCAGGGAGGGGTCTGTCTGTCGGTCCTGACCTGCCACCACCATGGGCTCCCGAGGGGCACCTGCTCTGGAGCTACTTGGCACCCTGCTGACGCCCTGAGGCTCAAGGGCTTTGGGTGGACAGCTCGGTTCACCTGGAGGTCAGAGCAGGAGGATGGCGCAACATGTGTTGACACGCTCAGGGTCCTGCTGCTGGGAGCGTGACACGCCCGCCCCTGCACCTGCCAGTCGGAACGTGTGTTCTGACTCAGTCAGCATGTGGGGAATGAGGTCCTCGGTGTTGATGTCACTCCTAAGACCTGCAAAATGTCACTGCCTCCCAGGACCTCAGGGTCGGCTCTTTGAAGCAAGGCCGGGCCAAACTGGTCTTAGACCCAGTGGCCTTGGTTCCCGCGAAGAGTGAAGAGACAGGACTGACACACCTCGGGCAGGCCTCCCACCGGAAGCGGGGGAGGTGGGCAGACGCCACCTCCCTCTCCTCCTGGGCCGGGACCACCTGGCTGGCAGGGCTGCTGAGGGTCACGGGAGGTGACGGATGTGCCTTGTCAGCCGGGATGCTGGGAGCACAGACCCCCTCGGCCTGGAACCTCGGGTCCTGTGGTGTACGATCATTCCTTTGCTCTTGCTCAGATTTACGGGAAGCCATAAGAAAGCCGTCTCTTGGGAATTCTGGGAGAACCAGCTGACACACAAACATACTCACGAGCCCCATTAACTGTTATGTCTTTGCAGAAAGACCTTCATACTTGCTCCTCATGCAGCGTTTAAGCTCAGCCTCCGAGTAATGACCACCACATGTGGGTGATGACAGTTTCACGAGCAGAGTAAATTCTAACATCCTGTTTTGATGCAGGGATACTTAGGCACCGCATCCCCCACCCACACCCCGTCCAAATGTGAAAGGAGCTCAAGGGACGGGGCTGGCTGACGGCGCAGTCCTGAGGCAGCAAGCATCACTGCTTAGTTAACGCTCCCAGGTCCTACCTCCTGCCAGGCCTGATCCTCACTGCAGGGCCCAAACCAGCAGGAAGCCATGTCTGTCCACCCCCACCCCAGCACGCCGGACACTGGACTAGAATGTCCTCTTTACACGGCCACCTTCGCAGGCAGCCCGAAGTTGGCTCTTTACCTTCCATGGCACCAGTGCGGGGTCTGGCCAGCGTGGGTGCTCACCAGCTGGCCTCTGACTGCACGATGGCAGATGCAACGGTAAAAGCAGCGGAAGGCTCCCTGGCTCTGTGAGCCAGGAGGGAGTGTGGAGGAGCCCGTGTTTGAGACAGAAGGCGAGTCCCTCAGATGAAAAATTCTGGGGTGCAACCCTGACAGAGGCAGTGTGGGCGAGACTGCAGAGAGGAGGACGGAGGGGTATGAGGGCCGCAGAGGGGCTGCTGGCCTGGAGTGCAGCCCAGGGCAGTGCGGGGTGGGTAGAGCTCAAAGGGGAAGATACCCCATCTCCTTAATCCCCCCTCCATGATGCGCAGGGGTTGGGGAGCCCGGCCTCTGGGACATAAGAGGTGGCAGAAGGAGGAAGGCTGTCCAACGCCAAGCCATACTGCGAAGCTCCGAAAATCTCCGTCATCACCGTGCACAGGGAGAGAAGTCTTTTCCCAAAAACAGTTTGCAGAGGAATGACAGAGAGGCTCATCGCGATCCTACCTGAAGGCGTAGGTCTTCTGATGCCAGCTCAGCTGTCCTCGAATGCTGTAGGCGATGGTGGTGACAAACTCCCCGCCCAGGCCCAGTTCCGAGCACAGCTTCAGGGCGAACTTCTCGGGCGAGTTCTCCTTCTCGGACATGTCCCACTCAAACTGGTCCACCAGGGAGATGTTCCCCACATGGATGTTCAGCTGCGGCCAGAACCAAAGAACCCAAGTTAGAACTGCCAGAACCCGCCCAACAGAGGCACTGCGAGAAAGGGGACAGCTCGCTCTGCGCCAACGGTGTCTGACCCCGGAGCAGACAAGCCCTCACACCGCCAAGCCAGGCAGGAACCCAATCTGGGACAGACTCCCAATCGCCCACCAGGTGGCAGCCCGTGGGTAGGGATAATCGTGGGGTGGAGCACCTGAAGGGCTCCCACAGCTGACAACTGTCTAGTCACCAAGAAAGCCTCGTCAGGGGAGCAGGTGGCAGCCCAAGCGGAGTTTGAACTGTCTGACCACTTTCCGTACGGCTGCCCACAAGCCCCATCAGGACAACAGCAAGAAAGCACCCAGTTCTGAGAAATATACCAGGGAGGCCAGCTGGTCAGACTCATGAGGACCCTGGGGGGGCTGACCCTGGCCACTTGGAGCCATGTGGTTGGATGTGGCTAACTCCATAAGGTCATGTTCTTACTAAAGTTATAGGACAAAGATGCAGTAAGCAGGGTCCTCGGGACATGCTCCAGAGGTAACAGGCTACACACAGGAACATGGGAGAGGCTCCTACTACTATACCCAACACTCCCCCAATTCTCGCTCATGACCTTGGTCGGCAAACTGCGGCTCGTGAGCCACATGCAGCTCTTTGGCCCCTTGAGTATGGCTCTTCCACAAAATACCACGGCCTGGGCAAGTCTATTTTGAAGAAGTGGCATTAGAAGAAGTTTAAGTTTAAAAAATTTGGCTCCTAAAGGAAATTTCAATCGTTGTAATGTTGATATTTGGCTCTGCTGACAAATGAGTTTGCCGACCACTGTCCCATGACATCCCCCTTTTCCCAACTGTGCCCTTTTCGGGGTAGTCAGCCATAATGTGAAACTGAAGCAGGCTAAGAACAACAAATTCTCTCCAAAGTAATTAACTAGCTAAGAAACTTAATCAGTAATCAAAACCCTGACAAAGAAAAGCCCTGGACCTAATGGCTTCACTGGTGAATTCATAAATAAGAACTTCCATCAGCCAGTGGGAAACAAAGGCAGGTGGAACACAGGCAGGGGCAGACATGGCACTTGGAGCAGCCTAGCCACAGGAACCAACCAAGCTGAAATAACAGAATGTTTTAGACTCGGAGCGGGAGGCATGTGAAACTAGGGAAGGACTGCAACAATGAGGTGACCTAATGCACAGAAACAGGGAAAGTTCAGGCCTGTTGCCTGGCAAGAACAATTGAGAGAATCAATCAGAAGGCAACATGGGTAGATACAGAGCAGGCTTAGCCAATATAAACCCCTGGACCACAGGCTTCAATGGAAACCCATTATTGGGCCCCTCCCTATGCAGGAGTCTGAATCTTCTTGTAATAAAAATTTCCACATTTTTGCTTAAAAAACAAACAACAACAACAACAAAAACTACCATCAATCCTCCTCAAATTTCTGCCAAGAAAAAGTGAAGAACAGGCAACGCTTTATAATTCATTGCCCTAATGCCAAACCCAGACCCTGCAAGAAAGGAAAACTATAGAGCAATCTTCCCTTATGAGCACTGATGCAATAACCCTCCACAAAATCCTAGCCAATTAAATCCAGCCGCATATTAGGATTACATACCACCACCACATGGGATTTATTCCTACAGTACAAGATGGGTCAATACGAAAACTGATCAATGAAGAATAAAACCACATGATCATCTCATTGGATACAGAAAAAACCTTTGGCAAAATTCAACACCCTTTCAGGACAAAAACACTCAAGAAACTAGAAATAAGGAAACCACTTTGTTGTTGTTGTTGTTAATCCTCACCAGAGGATAGTGTTTCCATTGTTTCTCAGAGAGAGTAGAGGAGAGGAGAGGGGTAGTGACAGAAAGAGAAGGACATCGATGTGAGAGGACACATCGATTGGTTGCCTCCCGCACACGCCAATTGGTTGCCAGCTGGGGCAGGGGTTGAGCCTTCAACCAAAGTATGTGCCCTTGACCAGAATCCAACCTAGGACCCTTCAATCCTTGGGCTAATGCTCTAATTACTAAGCAAAAGTGGCTAGGGCAGAAGGAAACTACTTTAACATAATAAAATCCATACAGGGAAAACCCACAGTGAATATGTATTCAACAGTGAAAGACTAAAAGCTTTTCCTCTAAGACCAGGAACTAGACAAGCTGCCTGCTCTTACAATTTCTAGACAGAGCAAGTAGGCAAGAAAAAGAAATAAAAGGCACCCAATGCCCTAGCCGGTTTTGTTCAGTGGATAGTGTTGGCCTGCGAACTGAAAGGTCCCAGGTTTGATTCCAGTCAAGGGCACATGCCTGGATTGTGGGCTCAATCCCCAGTGGGGGACTTGCAGGAGGCAGCCTATCAATGATTCTCTAGCATCATGGATGTTTCTATCTCTTTCTAGCTCTTCCTTCCTCTCTGAAATCAATAAAAATGTGTTTGTTTTTAAAAAACACCCAAACTGTAAAGAAAGGAGTTGTCTCTGCTTGCAGATGTTATAATCTCATATGTAAAAAACCCTAGATTACATTTAAAAAGTTAGAGCTAATACGTAAATTCAGCAAACTAGCAGAATATAAAGTCAAAACACAAAAATCAGCTATACACTAACAAAGAACCATCTGGAAAGAAAATTGAGAAAACAAATCCATTTAAAATAGCACTGAAAAGAACAAAATACTTAGGAATTAACTTAATCAAGGAGATAAAAGACTTATACAATGAAAACTACAAAACAATGCTAAAAGCAATTAAACAAGTCATAAATAAAAGACATCCCAACAATTTATTTTTGGAGACATAGAAAAAAAATCCATCCTAAAAATTCATATAAAATCTAAGCCCTGAACAGCCAAAACAATCTTGAAAAAGAACAACAAAGACTCACACTTGCTGATTGTAAAGCTACAGTAATCAAAACAGTGTGATGCTGACACAGAGACAGACATGTAAGCCAACAGAATAGAGAACCCAAAAATAAACCTTTGCATACATGGTCAAATGATTTTCCACGAGAGCACCAAGACCACTGAACAGGAGAAAAAAACAGTCTTCAACAAACAGTGCTGGAAAAACAGGATATCCACATGCAAAAGAGTGAAGCTGGACCCTAACCTTACACCAAGCATGTCAAACTCAAAGGCTAACATGGGTCAAATAAACAAAGTTTAAATTTATGTGGGCCACAAAAAAACAAAAGCTTCAATTTTCATAGAAACATAGGTTTATCAATAGAAATATGCTGAATACAAAGGGCTGAATTAAATGAGTCATCATTAATATAAAATAATAGATACTTTAATAAAAATTAACTTTTTCTTAAACAATAACTTACCAGACACCGAATAAGTACACAAAGTAATAAGTGTAACGCAAGTAAACCTATTTTTCTTGTTCTCCGAAAGCAAAATATTACCTGTTGCGCACACCAGACAAGTCAGAACAAGACTAATGATGTTGCAATCAGCTGCGAAAATATTCGCTGCTAGTATTACTGGAGAGAAAAGGTGTGCCTGCGCGTAAGGTGCATAAGGGAAAGAATGCAACACGATTAGCAAACATGTTAGTCCGTTATTAATAACTAGAGGCTCAGTGCACAAAATCCATGCACTAGGGACTGGTAGGGACCCTAGCAGCTGCCGGCTGCTGGCGAGGTACTCCCTCCCTTCCCCAGGTTGGCCTCGCCCTCTGGCTGAACTTCTGAACGAACCCTCAGTTGAAGGGACAATTTGCATACTATGCTTTTATTACATGGGATTATGTATAACAGGATATTGTAAAGATTAAGTTATGAAATTTTTAAAATTTATATATTTTTAAAATATATTTTATTGATTTTTCACAGAGAGGAAGAGAGAGGGATAGAGTTAGAAACATCGATGAGAGAGAATCATCGATCAGCTGCCTCTTGCATGCCTCCTACTGGGGATGTGCCCGCAACCAAGGTACAACCTTGACCGGAATCGAACCTGGGACCTTTCAGTCCGCAGGCCGACGCTCTATCCACTGAGTCAAACCAGTGCCGGCTAAGTTATGAAATTTTTATTAAAACATTTCTCACAACCGTTATATTGGCTGGGCTGCAAAAATATTCGTTGTGGGCTACCTGCGACCCATGGGCCGTGAGTCTGACATGCTCGCCTTACACCACATACAAAAGTTAACCCAAGATTGATGAATGACATAAATTTAAGAACTAAAATGATAAAACTCTTAGAAAAATACAGATGAAACAGGCAACAAATGAGAAAAATAGAAAAACTGGACTTCATCAAAAAAATAAGAAGGTAACTCACAGAATGTGAGTAAATACTTGCAAATCACATATCTGATAAGGGATTGATATGTAGAAGATATAGACAACTTGTAAAACCCAACTAAAGAACAAACCTGATTAAAAGTTGGGCAAAGGTCTTGAATAGACATTTTTCTAAAGAAGATATACAAATGGCCAATAAGCACATGAAAAAAATATTCAGCATCACTAAGCAACAGGGAAATGCAAATCAAAACCACAATGAGATCCCACTTCACACCAAGCAAGCTTTGTAGCAGGCAGCCTGGCCCCAAATCCCAGGTCTATCACTTCTCAACTGGGCAGTTTGGGGCAGGTGGCCTAACCTTTCTATGTGCCCACTTCTTCTTCTTCTTTTATTTATTTATTTTTTAAATATATTTTTATTGATTTCAGAGAGGAAGGGAGAGGGAGAGATAGAAACATCGATGAGAGAGACTCACTGACCAGCTGCTTCCTGCATGCTCCCTACTAGGGATTGAGCCTGCCACCCAGGCATGTGCCCTTGACTAGAATTGAACCTGGGACCCTTCAGTCCGCAGGCCAATGCTCTATCCACTCAGCCAAACTGGCCAGGGCTATGTGTCCCCTTCGCCTGTAACACAGCGGATGAGGCAGCATCTACCCCAGGACTGTGGTGGGTTACTGAGACAGAATGGGGTGTGCTCCATCCAACCCGCCTCTGGGAAGAGTAAGGCCGTGTGCTCATCTGTGGGCTTCCGCCCTCTGCCCATCAGCTGGCTTCGTCTCCTTTGAACACACCTGGAATGTGATACCGTACTCAGAGAAGCCAGGCCCACCCTTCCTGGGGGAGTAAGCAGAGCCACGTGCTGTCTCAGACAGCTTCCCAGGAGCGCCGTCCCACAGGCTTCACTGCGGCTCCATGCACCGTCAGTGTCCCAGGCCCCTCCACACACAGGCCCCGGCACACGGAGAGGAACTGCCTACCTTGATGATAACACGCTGGTCGGACTGGTCCTCCAGGATGCTGTCTGTGGGGTAGGACTCAATCTGCTGTCTGATGGCAGAGGCGATAGCTGGCACAAACGTCAATGGATTCAAATCTAGATCATCACAGAGGATCTCGGAGAACATCTCCGGAGTCATCAGCTTCTCTGTAATCAGGTATGAGGGCAGAGGTTGTCAACAAATTGTGGGGCCTAATCTCAGCCTTCAGCCCTGACCTCCCCATCCTTCCTCCTCTGCCAAATCTCGGATGAAGGTAAGGATAAAGACGAGGACGGGTGGCCCACCCTGATACGTTAGGGAAAGGAAGCAGAGGATGAACACTCGTTTCTGTCTATCTTTCCACATACACTACCTCCTTCACACCCCAGGGTGCTCAAGGCCCTAAGTGTCCCCCATACCAGATTCTCCCACTCCCAGGAACCCCTACGCCGCTACACACTCAATCAGTTCTAACCAATGAGATGTCTGGGAAGAGGGGAAGCAAAGCCACTTCAGAGCTATGTGTCATGTCCACACTCTCCCCTCCTCTTGACCCAGCAAGCAGGGCAGCCCCCCGTGAAGAGGAGACAGCTATCTACACACCAAGGTGAGGCCTCAGAGAAAACCAATGCTGCCAACACCTTGATCTTCAACTTCTAGCTTCCAGATCTGGGAGAACATACATTTCTATTGTTTAAGCCCCAGGTGTGGGACTTTATGGCATCCCTGGCAAACGAACACAGGTTTCTTTTTTTCTTTTTTTTTAAATTGATTTTTTACAGAGAGGAAGGGGGAGAGATAGAGAGCCAGAAACGTCGATGAGAGAGAAACATCGACCAGCCGCCTCTTGCACAGCCCCCACCGGGGATGTGCCCGCAACCAAGGTACATGCCCTTGACCGGAATCGAACCCGGGACCTTTCAGTCTGCAGACTGACGCTCTACCACTGAGCCAAACCGGTTTCGGCCGAACACAGGTTTCTTCTGGAGAAGGCACTATGAGGCCAGTTCTCACTGGAAGATGGAGCAGATGCTCGTCCATCCACCTCTTCCTCACCAGTAGAAATATCCCTCAGAGATAGTATTAGGCCGCTTATGGCTTTTTACAGACCTTCCCCCTTCCTAACTCTATGGGTAGCATATACACTCAACAAGTTGACAAGTACAGAGGTGTGTGTGGATCCTGGAAACGTAACTGTGCCAGGCATGAGCTCACAGGGACTATCTGTGACTGGCCAGGCTATAGCAAGGTACTGTGCAATCAAATCCTTTTCTCGCCATCCTCCTTTATTTTCAAAACCCAAACCTTAGTGATCATACAAAACTCTGGGATGAGCCATAGACAAAAAAAGCCAAGAATGAATTCCCTCATGAGCAAATAGCATGATTCCATTACCAAGAACCAGCTCTGCTTAACAGATATTCAACCCCACTATTTCCTCACGAGCCCAGGAGAAGTGCTGGAGACCAAGTGTCCTCACAGCACCATCAGGACAAACCTCGAACACTGAGCCAACCTATGCTCAATAACTCAAAAAACAAGCAAATGTAGTTTATTTTGAAGATTGCAGCAGAAAGCTAAAGTGCTCAGGCTAAGTAATCTATGAGTACATTGTCAATAGCATTAAAAAAAAATTAATCTTTTGCCCAACCAGTGTGGTTCAGTGGCTGAGCATCAATCTATGAACCAGGAGGTCACAGCTGGATTCCTGGTCAGAGCATATGCTTGGGTTGCAGGCTCAATCCCTAGTAGGGGGCGTGCAGGAGGCAGCCGATTGATGATTCTCTCTCATCAGTGATGTTTCTATATCTTCCCCCTCTCCCTTCTTCTCTGAAATAAATAAAAAGAAATAAACTGTGGTAGAAAGAGGATTTGAACCCAGAGTTCACACCTCCGAAAAGCCACATGCTTTGATTGTTGGGTCAGAATCCATAACACGCCCAAAAGGCATCAGGCATGAAAGGGGGGTGTTTGTACGGTGGCTTGTCTGGCTACTCGGAGCCCCATGTACCATTCATGTTCCAGGTAAAGGCATCCCTGAGCTTCTGCCCGTCAATCTCCATGTCCAGCCGGATGGGGACCAGCACCTCGGGCTGGGACGCATTCTCGTGGATCACTGCTGGGTCGTGGTCATCAAAGCTGGAAGCAAATGGCAGCAAAGTCAGCGAGGGGTGCTGTGCGTCCCCCAGGGCTCCCTCTCTACACCATGGACCACTGCAAACCTGGCCCGGGGGGACCAGGAGATTTCACACACACCCTTGTCAACTAAGGGCGGAGTCAGGAGAGACCAGGGCAGCAGGGGCCACGCGGCACAGCGGCCGAGCTCCACACTTCATGAACACGGGAAAGAGAGGGAAAGCTGCCGGCCTGGGCCGTGCACAGGACCTAGGCATCCTCTCAAAGAAGGAGATGTAAGCCCCGGAGCAGGCAGGACCTTTACGGAAAGCTGTGGGAAAGGACAGGTATTTCCAAAAGAGGAAACACCTGAGCAAAGGCCAAGGAGCAAGGAGAAGCAAGGAGGTGCTGGGCAGCAGCAGCCAGAACGTGAAAGGGGGCTGGAGGTTAGATGGGGAGCAGCTTCTGAGGCACCGGAACTACGGGGTCAAGGTGCCAACAGTTCGGCTGCGGAATCCAGCCTCTCCCTAAGGGAGTTCCAGGAGGACTGAGCGAGGGCTTTGCATGGTCATGTCTGGGTTCTAAGAAGACAAAGAGGAAAGAGAGGTGGGGATGCTGGAGGACACGGGAAGGCAAAGGCATCTGCAGAATGCCCGGGGCTGAGAGCTGCTCTCAGAGCGTGGGGCAGGACCACAAACAAACAAGAGCAGACCACACGCCTGACATAAAGGCTCTGGGAAACACAGGAAAGGGACGGGGAGGAGTGGCCATTCCAAGGGTGGAAGGCAGCCCTGAGAAAGTGACGTTCAAACAGAAATGGGAAGGATGGAAAAGGAGGGAGGGAAGGAGGAGAGAAGGAGACGAAAAGATACTGGCAAGCAGTGAATGAGGCTGGGCTGTAGAGGTGAATGTGGGGATGGTGCTTGAAAAATAACCCTCAAAAGATAGCTATGTCCTAATCCTTGGAACCTTGACCATTACCTTATATGGCAAAAGGGGTGTGCGTGTGCTTTGCATAGTGATTAAGTGAAGGATCTTGAGAGGAGATTAATTATCTTAGAGGGCCTAAATTATAGCAGGAGTGTCCTTATAAGAGATGGACAGGGAGAGATTTCACACACACCCAGAAGGCCATGGGACCACGGAAGCAGAGACTGGTGCTGTGGCTAAAGCTGAGGAATGCCGGCAGCTGCCAGAAGCTGGAAGAGACAAGCAGATTCTCTCCCAGAGGCCCCAGGACTGCAACCCAGTCAACACCTTGATTCTGGCTCAGTTAAACTCCTGGCCTCCAAAACTATGAGAGAATAAATCTGTGTTGTATTAATTCAGTTTGTTGCGATTTGTTGCAGCAGTCACAGGGAACGAACACAGCAGGAGTCACGTGAACGGCCTGTGAAACCATGAGAAAAGGTCTAAGAACTACGGCCCCGGGAATTCTACTCAAGGTCCTCGGGAAAATATGAGACTGGTGAGACGAAAACAGGCCAAGTTCGGGGGCTGGAGCAAGCTAGAGACTAGCACCCTGCAAGCTGAGGGCAAACAGTTTCATGGAGAAGGCAGCGTGGCATCTTGGGGAACCAAAGTAAGAATGTTTTTCGGGGGGGGGGGGGTGAAAATACATTCGGGCACTAAGGCGGACTCGGGGAGCGCTCACCAGAGCGGGAAGGTCCTCTTCTTGTCGCGGCCCATGCGGTTCCTGTTGATGGTTGTGGAGCACGGGACAGCATCCAGGTGGTGGGAGCTGTTGGGCAGGGTGGGCACCCACTGACTGTTCCTCTTTGCTTTCTGTTCCCTGGAAAGACATGGGAAACCTCCCACTCAGTCTCTGAGCCCAGTGCCACCACCAGGTAGCAAGTCGTGGTCAGCAGACGCCTCTGCAACCCAGCTGGGCTCCGGGCCCCAGTGGGAGCTTCTGTGCACCCAGACTCTGCGGGTGTTCCCTAGGCGCCCACCAGCACCTGCTTGGAGGTAACCAAGCTAGGAGAAGGGTGCAAAGGGGCCCCAGCATGGCAGAGCAGCGCCTGGCCCAGGGCACGAACCGTAATCTAGCATGTTATTGCCATGTGCTGGGCATGGCTCCACGGAAGCACTGTAAGGAGGCGGCTTCCCCGAGGAGTGGAGCCCTTAAACACTGAGTCAGGGTTCACTGGGGTGGGGTGACTGGAGGGGAGGAAGCGTTCCAAGAGGAGCAGACAGCAGCAGGGAACAGGCAGCAGGTTGCGGGCCTGAAAACATGAGACCCAGACAGGGTCCCAATTCAGGGGCTGACGTGTTCTGTGCGAGACTGGCTGTATTCAGCAGACGACTGGGAGTCCCCAGGGTTTGCAGCAGGAAGAGACATGATCAGACTATTATTTAAACATGCAGGCCGGCCTGAGATGGGCGAGGCAACCCTGTTGGCCTCTGGGCTTCCAGAGCAGCAGACACTCAGAATAACGTGAGTAGCCCATGTCTACAGAAGTCTGCGTGCTGGCGTCCCCACTGTGCTCTGAGCCCCTTTACCATCCTCGGGGCACCTTCCCCAATGAGAGGACGAGCAAGGTGAGGGCACTGCCTGGGTGTAATTCCCCCCTGTGGGCACCTGCAGCATCTTCTTCACCATTGGCTACGACGCAGAGACTACGGAACCCGCTGCATTTCCTGCTGCTTTGCCAGTGCCCTCTCAGGAGGGCCAGAGACACAGCTGGCAGTCCTTCCCTTCCTCATGGGGCATGGAGGGCAGAGGTGGTAGCCATGACCTGCCTGGGCCCGGGCCCTTTAACTCTTTTATCTTCTGACACTGGGACCACTCACACTCAGATGCTGAGGTCCAGGAACATCCCTGATGGAGGGCAGGACCAGAGAGGGAGTCACGGCACCTGGGCCAGGACTCCACCAAGCCTCCCGTACCCAGGTCTTGCTTAGATCTAATGACCAGCCTTCACCTTACATGAGAGGAACGTCCTGGGGAAATGGGAAGCAAGGAACTAATGTGGGCGGGGCTTAGAGCTGGGGCAACAAGACCGGCATCACCACCACAGCCCGCCTCGGCCCGCTGGCCACCCAGGCTCACTTAGAGCACAAAAATGTCAGTAATAGATTCCTGAATCCCCCCCCCCCCCCCAGATCAAACAATCCCCGTCTCTGGAGAGGGCCTGGGAACACAAATTCTTAACGTCCATGGGCAATGGTGGTGCCACGGGCCTGTACTGGGGAGCCTCGGGTCTAGCACCCCTCTTTTCTGAGCCTCCTAGAGTCAAAGCCTGCCCCGACTCAGCAGCAGTCTCACTCATTTCCAGTCGGGGCTGCTCTGCCAAGTCATGTCACAGACACAGTGAGCATGCATCCACAGCCCTGCACAGACTCCGAGGCTCTGAGTCATGTAATTCAAGCTCCTTCCACCGCCTGGAGGTCTGCCTGAGAGGGGGCAGCCGGCCTCTGCCTGCCTGCTCGGTGAGGTCGGGGGGAGGTGCCAGTCCTCCCGTGGGGCTGACTAGACAGTGAGAAGGTGCTTCCTGAGCACAAAGCCTGACAAAGCGCAAAGCAGCCTCCTTCAAAACTTCACCTCCTCCCCCTGCCCCCCATTCTTCCTCCCTCAGCTGCTCCTCAAATGACACGATCATTAAGAAAGTGTTTATCGCCCCATAAAAGTTTCCCAGCTGATGTGTGCAGACTTGAAAGTCCCATCCATATGTACTCAATTTCCTTCTGCCACTTCCCTGGGAAAGTCTAGCCATCCTTATGTTTTACCACATCCCCGAGGGGGGCGGGAGGGTGGGGGAGAAATCTGTAGAGCACACATCCATAACGCTGGCCAGGTTGGATGTGTGCCACCATTTTCCAGGGGCAGTGGGGAGGGAGGATTATATAAAGAAGCCAGTAGGAAAGTTGAGAGCAAATTGGAAAAGAAAACCATATCACACAAAACAATCCAGTCCTGCCAGTGTGGCCCAGTGGTTAAGCATCAACCTATGAACCAGGAGGTCAGGGTTAGATTCCGGATCAGGGCACATGCCTGGGTGGCGGGCTTGATCCCCAGTGTAGGGCGTGCCGGGAGGCAGGCAATCAATGATTCTCATCATTGATTTTTTTTTTTCTCTCTCTCTCCCCCTTCTTCTCTAACATCAATAAAAATATATTTTTAGCCGAGACCGGTTTGGCTCAATGGATAGAGCATCGGCTTGGGGACTGAAGGGTCCCGGGTTCGATTCCCGCCAAGGGCATGTACCTTGGTTGCGAGCATATCCCCAGTAGGGGGTGTGCAAGAGGCAGCTGATCGATGACTCTCTCTCATCGATGTTTCTAACTCTCTATCTCCCTCCCTTCCTTTCTGTACAAAATTAATAAAATATATTAAAAAAAAAAGAATGAAAGGCTTCTATATAAAAATATATATATATATATATATATATATATATATATATATATATATTTTTTTTTTTTTTTTTTTTTTTTTTTTAAACAAATAAAATAACACTCTCACCGGTTTGGCTCAGTGGATAGAGCGTCGGCCTGTGGACTGAAAAGTCCCGGGTTCGATTCCGGTCAGGGGCATGTACCTTGGTTGCGGGTACATCCCCAGTTGGGGGTGTGCAAGAGGCAGCTGATCGATGATTCTCTCTCATCAATGTTTCTAACTCTCTATCCCTCTCTCTTTCTCTCTGTAAAAAAATCAATAAAATATATATATATATTTTTAAAAAGAAAAAAAATAACACTCTCCAACTCCCTGAGTGCTTCTGGGGTTTGGTGCATATGAATGCAGGTTTATTTGAGAACTGAAAGCACAGGGCAGGCATCTGTGGGGCTCAGGCATGTGAACCCCGCCTTTGGTTGCTGCAGTCTACTTAATTACAATATCCAGTTACATCGCAGTTCATTCCAGCGAGCATCTTCACTCACTCAGCCTCTCCCTCAGGCTGGATACTCCAGTGGTTCCATATTTCCCATTATCGCTCCCAAGGGTATCTCTGTGTATATATGGTTTTTGTTGGTAGTGGTGTTCTTTTAAATTATTTTTCTGGGACAAATTCCCAGGGGTGAAATTAACAGGCCAGACACACACGCAAAAAGGTTTGATGTCGCAATGCTTTACAAAAAGGTCATGCTGAGCCCTATCTGGTTTGGCTCAGTGGATAAGAGCAGTAGCCTGAGGACTGATGGGTCCCGGGTTCGATTCCAGTCAAGGGCATGTACCTTGGTTGCAGACTCAATCCCTAGCCCTGATGGGGGCAAATTCGAAATCAACCAACCGATGTGTCTCTCTCACATCAATGTTTCTTTCTATTTTCCCCCCCCCTTCCACTCTCTCTAAAAATCAATGGAAAAATAGCCTCAGTGAGGATTAACAACAGCAAATATATATATATATATTTTTTTTAATTTTTTATTTATTTATTTAAATTTAGAGAGAGGAAGGGTGGGAAACATCAATGCAAGAGCACAACATCAATTGACAGCCTCACAGGGCATTGAGCCCAAAACCCAGGCATGTGCCCTGACCAGAATTTTGAAGCAGCAACTTCCTGGTGCACAAGCCAACACCCAACCAACTGAGCCACAGTGACCAGGGTGCGACTTTATTTTCTTACTTTGAATTTTTTAAATTGCACATGAGGACAAACATCATTCCGTGTTTATTTATTCTTTGTATTTCCAGTGTGGAGCACCCTTTACCTATCTATCTATTGGGGTATTCAAGTTTCCTTATAAATCTGAATGAGGAGAGTCTTTCTACAACGTAACAAGTTTCCGATTACTTTCCTGTTTAAATGTTACCATAAACACTCTTTTAACGGTTCTAAATTTATACATTCAAATCTATTGCTTGTTTGTTTTGTGACTTTGTCTAGGTCACTAATTTTTCTGACAAATGAGTCCCACTTTTAAAGCATTCTTGGCCTCTCTCCACAATACAAGACTCGGCTTAGGTTTTTTAGAAATTCCAAAGACAAAGAAGAAACTTAAAAACCCGGCCAGGGTGATTTATAAGCACAATGGGTAAAGTGTTGAAAAGTATTTCAGTACCTGGCTGGCATGGCTCAGTGGTTGAGCATCAACCTATGAACCAGGAGGTCACAGTTTAATTCCTGGTTTGGGCACATGCCCGGATTGTGGGCTCGATCCTCAGTGTGGGATATGCAGGAGGCAGCCAATCAATGATTCTCTCTCATCATTGATGTTTCTATCGCTCTCTCTCTCTCTCCCTTCCTCTCTGAAATTAATAAAAATATATATTTTTTATAAAAAAGTATTATGGTTTGACTTAACACCAACTGGTTCTGGAGTATAAGAATAGTCCTCGCAGGTGTCACACGAGCACGCCCGGCCAGGGGTTTGTTACCTGAGGTAGGTGGGGGGCTCCGTGCTGATGGACACGGCCTTGTACTTCTCGTCATTGCCGTCCAGAATCTCTTCCACCTCTGAGGCTTTCAACAGAGTCACGCTGGTGGCCAGGGTCGTGTATCCATGATCTGTAACCAGAGACACGGCTGCGGTCACCCCGCCGGCGGGGCAGCGACCAGCAGTAGCCAGTAGGTGCAGCACAACAAGGTCCTCACATGCAGGAGGTGAAAAAAGCAGGTGTCGCCCTTACTACTGCTGACTGCAGCCTCTTCCAAAAGGGCGGTCTGGCTGCCGGGACCGGTTTGGCTCAGTGGATAGAGCGTCGGCTTGGGGACTGAAGGGTCCCGGGTTCGGTTCCGGTCGGGGGCATGTGCCTTGGTTGCGGGCATGTCCCCGGTGGGGGGTGTGCAAGAGGCAGCTGATCGATGACTCTCTCTCATCGATGTTTCTAACTCTCTATCTCTCTCCCTTCCTCTCTGTACAGAATCAATAAAATATATTAAAATAATAATAATAATAATAAATAAAAAAAGAGCCTTGAGCCTAAACCGGTTTTGCTCAATGGATAGAGAGAAGAAAAAAAAAAGAAAAAAAAAGGGCGGTCTGGGCTGAGCGCCTGGCTGGGAGGTCCCGGTGGATAGACACTGAGGGTGTCTGGGACATGTCAGGGCCAGGAGCACGGGCTCCAGGCAGAGGAAAAGCGGCGGCAGGTGCAGCAGCACAGTAACACCAGTGGGAAGAGGTCTGGCACCACCGCAGGCACAACACGAAGCAGAGTGAAGAGATGGAATGGAAGATGAAAAGGACTTTTCTTTTAAAACAAGAGCCCAGAGGGTTGGAGAGAGCTGCTGCACACGAACACGAACCCTGGCCCTAGGCCGGGCAATGCTGTCTGGGAAGCGGGACAGAGTCTAGGCGACTCGGCTCAGAGCTGTTCGAGGGAACCTGGGTCAAGAGCCGCTACCTGTCTGCGGTCCAGCCTGGCTCCTCCTGGAGAAACAAAGCAGTTAAGGGGCAGGAAGCACAAGGCGGAGGAGTCACCGAGCTTCCTCTGAGATTTGCGGAGGGCAAAGCCAAGCGGGGATTCGCTGCGTTAGTGCCTGCCACTCCACTGGGGGCGGAGGAGGGACAAAAAGGAGGCTTTTTAAAGTGAGTGGAAATGTTAAAGCAGCAGATTAACAAAAGCTCTGGCTCCTGCATTAAAAGAACCACTATTTTGTCCGCAATGGACAGGTCCACAGCAGCACCTAGAAACACACCAACAGGACAGACTGCAAAGCATGCTCTTGCTCTCTCTCGCTCTCTCACATACACTTACACATACACACACACACATGCACATGCACACGCACACACACACACACACACACACGCGCAGTTCTCTACAAGTGGGAAGCACGTTCACCATCTGCCGAACACTGTGCTGTGTCCAAACCCGAATGGACCGTGAGCCTCTCCTGGGAGGTCGAAGAGCATCCTCTCGCCCTGCACAGAGCTGCCACGGCTGAAGCACGCCAGTGCCTCTCCCATCATTGGCGTCGGGCTGCTCACCTCGCCAGCCCCAGGCACACCGCAGGCACAACAAGCAGGGACATGCACATGAGCTCAGCACACTGGCTGCCGGATGAAGATGAAACGCTACAGGATGGATGTGCTCTAGGAAGCGAAGCGGTGAAAGCCCCAGAGGGGAGTGGGAGCCGGGGTCACCACCCGCCGCTCGGGCTGCATGAAGGATGACTGTGGCGGTACGCCACGGCAGATGGCAGAGCATCACAGCATTCCTAAAACGTTTTGAGACCAACATGTCTTCACAGCACCCGCTACTGTCCCGGCCCGGCCCGCCTCGTACAGCCTCTGGTCCCGTTAGAATACCTGGTGAAGGGCCGCCACGCTCTCGCCTGACCCGCCCCTAGGATGCTCCTTGCCACGCTAAGGTCAGGGCTGCAGTGAAGACACTCTGGAGTGAAAACGTTTTATCTTCATGACAGAAGCGAGTGGTTTTGAAACAGGTTTACAAACCCTCGTGAAGACGCACCCTTAGTGTTAGGTTTTGTTTTTTTACCATGTGACGATGCAACTATTTTCTTCCTCTCTTCCACAGTGGCTAGTCGCCTCCAGAGTGAGGGGTATCTCTTGTACAGAGAACCTCGGAACATACGGAGGTAGTTTCCCACCTATGGGTAAAGCGAGAAGGCTCATTATGAGGGGCACGTCTCCACGCGGAGGGCAGGGTCCTGGCGCAGAGGCTCCGCCGCATCAAGTGATGGACAAACAGGCCCTGGGTTGGCCATCAGGCACCAGGCTTTCGGCAGCAGTAAAAACGGATCCTGCTGACATCAAGGGTTCAACAGCAGTGCACATCTGGCCCACATCTGGGGCCAATCACATCTGCATGCTGACGACAGGACCAAAGCTCGCGAGGCAGGCCCCCAGTGCTCACCAAGGAGCCCCCAGAGCTCCAGAGAAGCTTGCAATGATTTGATTTTGGACTCGGGCGCTCTGGCACTTTCCAGGAATGTAAGGCCTCTGTGACTCTCTTTTATCTTTAAAATAAGACTTTGATATTTTTACGATGCAATAAACACCAAAAAGGTCTCTTAATTTTAGTCAGATGCAGGATAATTTCCCCCATGACCCCTGGTGCTTTGTTTAGTAACAAAACTCAAACCAGGGATACCAGAGGAATTTTCCGAAGAGTTTAAAAAGCACTTATCGGCAATCACCAGCGTGCCATATAAATCATTGCTTTCCCAAACAATAGCTTCAGACTGCTTGTACCAAATGCTCAAAGTATGACTTCCTCAATAAAGGGGAAAAAAATCTAGGCCCAAAGTTTTTATAAAGAAACCCCAATGTCTCACTGACTTTTCCAAAATGATCGCTTCAATCACATGGCCAGAGACGGCCGGGGGAGTGAGTGCCAGGTGCTGGCTCCACCGGTCCAGGAGTCACATTCCCTGTCTGGGACAACTTACTTATCTGTCACATTCACCCCACAAAGGACCACATCTGCTATTTTCCCACTTACCTACCCATCACAGTACATTTATTAAATAAAAATGTTTCTCCCTTTTTCACGAGTCAAAGATTTCTATGACTGACAACCAGAGCTGCTGAACAGCAGGAGAGTAGGTAACCACACGTCCTCACCTGCCACACAGTAGGCACAGACCCCTGTGTGTTATTTGGCTTGAGTGTTGTTACCATTCAAGAGTAAACATAATTTCCATTAGGTTCTGAAAACACTTTGATGATAACTGTCCCCCCCCCACCTTGCAGAGCCTGCAGAGTCCCAGGACTCCCAGACCCTTCCCCTGAGGCCCCTTCAGAGCAGAGGGCAGGGCTTGCCTTTCTGAGTGTTTCCTGAACAACTTTTGTCTGCTCTGGGCCTGGTTTTCCAAATGTAAGATGAAAACATAGACTTGGGATTTCCCTAGCGTCCTCTCAGGTCTGTGACTCTAACCTGGTGGACAGCTGCCGGCAGATGGCAGAACAGTGGCGCACTCACTACACCTGCAGATGCTGTTCCCAGGCCGCTTCACAAACGTGGCCTGGCCAGCCCACCTCTCTGAATATGGTGCCTGTCTCCCGCGGGAGAGGGGTCTGGGGGCCACCCAGCATCCTGATCTTGAACCTTTCCCAGACCTCAAAGGTCCAACGATTGTCCAGCCAGGCCCCAGAAAGCAAACTGCCTCTCCCTTCTTCCCTCTGGGTGTCTACTGACTCAGTCTTAGGACAATGTTCTCACGCAACAGGGCTCAAAGAGAAGACTGCTGTTAACTTTCTAGAAACTAAAATGTATTACGGAAAAGATCTCACGAGGCCATCTAGACTAAGCAACTAATTGTACACGAGAAATGTGACACAGAGCCGAAACCGGTTTGGCTCAGTGGATAGACTGAAAGGTCCCAGGTTCGATTCCCGTCAAGGGCATGTACCTTGGTTGCGGGCACATCCCTAGTAGGGGGTGTGCAAGAAGCAGCTGATTGGTGATTCTCTCTCATCGATGTTTCTACCTCACTATCCCTCTCTCTTCCTCTCTGTAAAAAATCAATAAAATATATTTAAAAAAAAAAAAAAAAAGAATAAGAGAAACGTGCCAGAGGCAGAGCAGAGCTGGGACCTGACGTTCTTCCCACCTGGCTGCAAACTTCTTCTCAATTTGCTCCACCCAATAAATGAAAGCTTGCTTTTCAACAGTACCACCCTCTCAGGGTCAAGGCCGAACTGACTGCTTTTCCTGCCCATGTAAAGGGTCATGGTTTCCTGCCATAAAACCAGGTAAAGGTTTCTTTAAACAAGCTGCCTATTATCACATACGGAAACTCCTCAACTGCCTTTTGTATCCTGCACCCACTAGCTCAATTTCCCCAGCACAGCTATCTTGGAAGAGCAGCATTTATGTGAGAATGTGAAAAATGTATTGCATCCTGCCCTCTAAATGTATTGCATCCTGTCTTCTAAAAAGGGGTGGGAAACGATAACACTATGTTCTGATGCTGACAACATTGGTGTCATAATTTAATACAACTAAAATAAGCCAGGAATCAGAGTGTGACCTGAAAGCTGAGTGTGACCATCATGAGGCTTAATTCATGTTCAAGTGTAAAGAAAAGCAACAAAAATTGCAAAAACGGGAGTGGAATGTTGGCCTCCGATACTAACATCTGCTACACACGGTAGTAACCCTTGGCATTTTGTAACAGCTTTGCTCTTTAGCTCTCCGAGATCAGCACTTACCTTGTTACCTTGTTACTCGAGAGAGGCTCTACTGCTTGGGATATGCACATTGGGATTGCATAGCCATGATTGTTTCTTTTTAAAAAATATATATATATATACACTATCAGGGGACTTCCTTTAGACCAAAAAAGGCTAGTTTGAGGTAATCTGAAAAAACAATATATTTAGTACAAACTACAATACAACCTAGGACCAGTTGTAGGGTTTTCCTTAAGTCAGTGGTGCAGCTGATTCAACAAAGTGCTGTCACTTCTAGTAAGAATTAAAGATCTTTAGGATTGCCCTGGCCAAGTGGCTCAGTTGACAGGAGCAAAATCCAGTATACCAAAAGGTTAGGGGTTCGATTCCGAGTCAGGGCTCATATCCAGGTTTTGGATTCAATCCCTGGTCCAGAACACCGGAAGCAACTGATCCATCTTTCACATCGACGTTTCTCTCTTTCTCTCTCCCTTCCTCTCTCTCTAAAATCAATAGAAACATATTCTGAGGTGATGATTAAAAAAAAAATCTTTAGCCCTAACTAGTTTGGCTAAGTGGATAGAGCGTCGGCCTGCAGACTGAATAAAAACAAGTCTTTAGGCTCTTTCCCCTGTAATAATAATAATTCAACCAGTACAAGATATGCAAAGCATGGATTGCTTCTGAACTGCTGATAGACCTAGCTCAGGGACTGGGTGGGGTGGGGTGGGGTGGGGTGGGGGGGGTGGGGGGAAGGACCGGCCTTATCCACCCAAAAGCAAGCATCCTCCTCCCAACCTATTTCCTCCCCGGTAAATTGGTAAACAATGGTCAAAACACCTCCCTCCCACCTCAAAGCTACAAACACAGTGAATGAGCCCTCACTACGCCTCAAACTCTACAACCTGCCATTTCGGGATCCCAGATAGACCCATGGGGGAGGGGTGCATGTGAGATTTCTTTCCAACATCTCCGTCCAAGAGTCTAACCAAGACACCCAGTGTCTTTTCCTCTTGCCTGGTGTTGCACCAACTTAGCGCAAAACCAGTGGTTGACCGGGCAGCCCTAGCCCTGACAGCAAGGTGCGTTCCCCGACTACCAACCAAGAAAAGGGGAAGAGATCAACCAAAGGACTTTTGTGTATGCATATGGGCCCAGCCAGTGGCCATGAACAACAGGGGGGTGAGGGCATATGTAGGGAGGGGTTTGGGATGGGAATGGGAGGGTGAGGACAATTATGTGATACTATAGTCAATAAAAAAATTAAAAATTAAATTTTTTAAAAAAAGGGGGGGTGGGTAAGAAAACCCAGAATCTCAGGTGTGCCAGGGGCGGGGCCTAGTCGATCCCGCCCTCCCGGTCCCGCCCCCTCGCGCGCGCGCGCGCACCCTCCCGCCGCGATGAATGGAGACGCGCGTCCCCCGCGCGCAGACCCGCCCGGAGACTCTCGCGGGCGAGGGCCCGGAAGGGGGCGCGCGGCTCGGTACCTCGGAGCCGATCATGTAGAACTCGCCGTCGTCCTCGAGCTGGAACTTGACGGGCTTCTGCCCGAAGGTCTTGCTCAGCGCCATCATCATCATTGCGGCGGCGGGGGCGGGCGGCCAAGGCCGCGATGCGAGGGATCGGGAGGGCTGAGGCGTGTCCGGGGCGCGCCCAGTCGCGGGAAGTCGAAGCCGCGAGGCGAAGGGCGGGCTGGGCCGGGCGCTCGCGCCGCCGTCGCCGCCGCCGCCGGGCTCCTGAGCCGCCGCCGCCGCCGCCGCCGCCGCCGCCGCCGCCGCCGCCGACCAGGCCGCCCTCGGTGCGCATGCGCCGGCGTTGACGCTGACGCGCGCGCTTCCGCCGCCCAAACAAAAGGCCCGGGCGCGTGCCCGCGAGCCTCTTAAAGGAGCCGAGACCCGTTTTTCTCCTTCCAGGCTGCTTCCCAAATCGAGATACCGAGGGAAATTCCCACTGATGGAAATAGTAACGTAACCGAGGCCCAGACTCAGGCGGTGGCCTTTCCAAAAGTCTCACAGCTGGGACTGGCACTCTGTCCAGTGAAGGAGAAAGGAAGTGAGGCCTGAAGGCTGGGAGGAGGCCCGAGATACCTAGGCCTCAGTTTCCCCACCCAGAAAACAGTGCTGCTGAGCACCTAAGAGGGCACCTAGGAACAGTTCCTGCTGTGGGAATGGGCAGCATGAGCAAAGGCAGGGTTCCAAGGTCCAGGCGGTTATTTGGTTTGGCTGGTGCATCAGATGAGTGATGGAGGGGAAGGATCCTTCTCCTTCCCTTCCTTAACTTTGCTCGGCCTGACAATAAGTTGAGCCTTGACCATAAGACAGCCCTCCCATCCCCCCTAGCCCAGCTCTGTCCCCATCCTGGCCTCCCCAGCACAGAAAACACTCCAGGCAAACAGGTAGAAAATTATTATGACCATGTTTAATGAGAAACCTCAATTTAAAAAAAACAAAACAAAAAAAAAGGCTTTGTACACATATTTACATGGCTTTGGAAGGTCTCAGTGCTAGGATGAGGGGGGATGGGAGGATCTGGCCCATGAGAGGATTGAGGTATGTTGGGGCCTTCAGGGCCCTGGGCACCCCGCTCCCCAGCTGACGTCTCAGGAAAGGGCAGGAGGCCATGGGGCCGCCGGATCCATGTGCTAGCACCCTGCAGGAACCTCGAGGCAGGGACAGAGCAGGGGCTCCAGCTCCCGCCGATCCACTGAGGTGCTTTCCTGAGGGACAGGGATAGAGAGCCAGGACAGCTCTCTGAGGTGCGACTGTGGCCTGCACAGGTTGGGTAGAGCAGGCCCAGTCCCGCCCCACCTCTACTGCCAAAGCCTTCTTGCCCGGCCTGAGACAGTTGCTGGCAGGTGACCACGACCTGCATGGCCTTCCCTGCAGTTGTCATGGTGGCAGGACCCCTCCCCACCCCCTGACAAGACACAGGCTCTGTCTCATGCCTGATGCCCACAGTCAGCCACAAAGATGGCCACAGGTCTCTTGGTGAAGCCAGTGGCCGGGCAGGGGTCCGGGGCCCTGAGGGCATCCACGCCGTGGCTAGTGGAAGGTGTTGGCGGGCTCTGCACAGCCGAAGAAATCGGGGCCCACGAGGCGGGGAAAGCCTTCCAGGACCTTCACCTTCACGGGGTCAAACTTCCAGTAGAGGCGGCCGCGCAGGAAGTAGGCATAACCTGAGGAGAAAGGAGGGTCAGGTCTGGGCGAGTGGACACTGGGCCTCAAAACCTACTGCTATCAGGCTGTGCTAAGGGCTGGGCACAGGGGGAGGTCCAGGTGGCGGCAGGCCTTGGCCACTGCTGAGTTCCTTGAAACTCACAGGCCTCCAGAACCTCTTTTCCCTTGGGTAAGGTGACCAGACGTCCCGCTTTTGGCGGGACAGTCCCCAATCCTTAACAATTTGTCCCGCGGCATTTTATTACTTTTTTAAAAATATATATTTCATTGATTTTTAACAGAGAAAGGGAGAGAGATAGAGAGCTAGAAACGTCGATGATAGAGAAACATCGACCAGCTGCCTCTTGCACACCCCCTACCGGGGATGTGCCCGCAACCAAGGTACATGCGCTTGACCGGAATCGAACCTGGGACCTTTCAGTTCGCAGACCGACGCTCTATCCACTGAGCCAAACAGGCTTCGGCTGTCCCACGGCGTTTTAATAAAGTCCCGATTGGGACTTTTTTAAAACGCTGTGGGACATGGGGCACTGTTAGAAATCGGGACGTCTGGCCACCTTACCCTTGGGGGACCCTTTCAGCCTGACAGATGGGGTGCTTTGGAGGCCCCGTTCCTACCTGCCAGAAAAGCAAGTCCCACTCCCCTCGCTGGCCCTCACTCCACTGTTGCACCCACCAGCTAGATACACATGGGTATCTTGAGTCCTGAGGGCGCTACAGGCAACCTAGCGTCCGAGGCCACCACTTGGCTGTTCTCCTAACAGGTCCGTCCGTGGGAGAGCACAGAAGCAAAGGGAGAGCAAGAGAGAGAGAGAGAGAGCACTGGACTGTGAGTGCCCAGCCCAGTCCTTGGAGATGGCAAGAGGCCGGATGGCCCAATGGTTGGGAGCAGGGACTGTCCGGGTGGTGGTCCTAGCTGCCCACTGTCCACCTGGGTGGCCTCATCACCTGAACCCCTGATTGCTCCTCTGGAATCTGGGTTCCTAACGGGTACAACACCCGAGGAGTGCATGAGACATTCAGGGAGCTTAGGAGCCTGGAGCATCATCAGTGACCAATAGAGTGGGATGGTCATTCTTTTCTTTTCTTTTTTAATATATATATTTTATTGATTTTTTTTACAGAGAAGAAGAGAGTGAGAGTTAGAAGCATCGATGAGAGAGAATCATCGATCAGCTGCCTCCTGCAACCCCCCGCCTCTCCCCACTGGGGATGTGCCTGCAACCAAGGCACATGCCCATGACTGGAATCAAATCTGGGACCCTTCAGCCCGCAGGCCGACGCTCTATCCACTGAGCCAAACGGGTTTCGGCACGATGGTCTTTCTTACCAGCCATGACCAGGGGGCCTCTCTGACTCTCAATCTTATCTGCAGCCCTAGTGGTCCAGCACTGCCCTGGCAGGAGAAGGGGGCCCGCTGGGGTGGGTGCTGGGCAGAGGGCCTGCAGTGAAAACCCGATGCTCAGGCCGCCCCGCCTCCCCCAGCCGCCCCACGGCCAGCGCACCGTCCGCATCCTGGAAGGCGGCGTCCACCTCGGAGGGCACTCCTCGCCAGTCCGTGGCCCGGCGGGGCACCTGGCTGTTCACGCGGCGGGTGCTGGCGTGGAAGCGCCAGTAGTATCCGTTTCGGAAGAAGTAGATCTTGTTCTTCTCGGAGCCCCAGACCAAGGCTGCGTGGACCGGGGACCACAGCAGGCCCAGCTCGGAGAGGGGGGCGGGGCCTACCACCCGCTTCTCGCCGTCGTACATCCAGTACTGAGCCCCTGCGGAGAAGGGAGGCTGCGATGGGCCACACTGCAGCCATCGGGGGCCTGCCCAGCGGCCACCGCCGCCGCCGCCAACATCCCCAGCCCGCTTCGTCGTCCTGCTCGGCGCCCCGAGTGCAGGGGAAGTTGGAGCCAGCAGGAGTAAGCTGGGGTGGTGCAGGCTCTGGGACGTACCACGTGAATGAGGTTATTCTCGGTAGCGGAGCGGTGCCCGGGTGCCCGTTCCTTCCCCTGGCTTCTGACTGCTCACCACCCCCTGGGCTTAGCTCCGTCCCGGCAGGTCCTGGCCGGGCCTTGGTTTATGAAGTCCCTGCTGCCTGGAATGCTCCAGGCTCTCTGCCAGCTGGAAATTAACAGCACAGGCACCAGGGTCGCCAGACCTCGATCACATCCCTGCTCTACCTTTTCCAAGCTGTGTCTTTATATATATATATTATTGATTTTTTATTTTTTTTTTTTACAGAGGGGAATGGAGAGAGAGAGAGGAATAGTGAGTTAGAAACATCAATGTGAGAGAAACATCGATTCAGCTGCCTCCTACACACTCCCCACTGGGGATGTGCCCGCAACCAAGGCACATGCCCTTGACTGGAATCGAACCTGGGACTCTTCAGTCCGAAGGCTGACGCTCTATCCACTGAGCCAAACCCGTTAGGGCCCAAGCTGTGCCTTTAGGCTAGGGGTGTCGAACTCAATCAGAGAAGGGGCCAAAATCTAAAATCCAGCCTAAATCGCGGGCCGAATGGTTTACTGAACAGTCATAAACTGTCATTGTGATGGAAACGCAGCGGAGTGCAGTGATGACAGCGCGATGCGGGCCACATTGCAAGGCCTGGCGGGACGGATTTGGCCCGCGGGCCTTGTGTTTGACACGTGTGCTTTAGGCGAATCATTTCCCTGCCTCTGAGCTGGAGGCCAAGGCGTGCCCCGCTGCACAATACCTTCCATTCTGCGCCCACCTTGAGAGCCACGCCCTCCGGGAGGCTCCCAGCTGCATCCAGAGCAGTGAGCCTTGCTCTCCCTCTGCCCTGAGGACTCAGAGCACCCTCTCCCTGCCCACATCTGTCTGTCCGGCCCTTCCCTTGGCCGTGGCGCTCCTGGCCCACTCGCCTGAGCACAGCCCCCACTCACCCTGGAAGAACCAGATGTGGCCCTGGGCGTCCTCGAAGGCGGCGTCCACGGGGCTGGGCAGCCCCTGCCAGTGGCGAGAGGCCAGCGCGGGGTAGCCAGGCTGCAGCCGGCCGCCGCGCAGCCGCCACACGAAGCCGGCCTTGAAGAAGAAGAGCTCGCCGCGGATGGTGGCCGCCGCATCGAAGGCGACCTCGCAGACGTCCGGCGGGGCTTCCGGCTGGCATGGGGGGGAGAGGGCCGGGAGAGGGTCCGCGTTGGAGCCACAGAGGCCAGGGGTTGGAGGAGCTGGCGCAGGGCCTCACTTCCCGCCTCCCCGCCCTCCGGCACCTCACCTCCAGCGGCGCGATCTCGTTGGTGTCCACCCCACCCCGGGGGCCGGGAGCCGGGGGCCTGGCGCTGGGGGGCGGCCGGGGCCTGTTGGTGTCCACCCCACCCCGGGGGCCGGGAGCCGGGGGCCTGGCGCTGGGGGGCGGCCGGGGCCGGCCGTAGAGGTGCTGGATGCCCCTGTGGTCATCCGGGCTGAGGCCCGGCGGGTAGCCGAAGGTGTAGAAAGGGGCCATCAGGGCCTTGGCAGCTGTCGTGTGCTGTAACCCGAGCACGTGGCCGAATTCGTGGGCTGCCACAAGCAGGAGGTCGGTGCCTGGAAAAGGGAAATGGCCTCCTGCAGCGGGTGCCCCGGCTCAGGAACTCGGAGGGTTTCCCCGTCCTCTCTGATCGTCAGCTGCCCGTCCTGCAAAAACGGTCCCCAGGCCGTACCCTGGTCGTCCCCGATAGTCCAGGTCTCATCGTAGTCGAAGTGGACGTCGCCTTCCCGGTTGGTCTTGGGGAAGAAGGCGTGGGCCAGGACACCCCCGGGTCCGTCGAACGGCAGGTCGTCGCCATGCCAGTACCTGCGGGAGGGGGAGGGGGGGACGGGTGGGGGGTGCAGAGTCAGCAGCTGCTGACAGCGGGGGCGGGCGGGGGGGGGTGTGTGCAGAGTCGGCAGCTGTTGGCAGCTGGGGCTGTCCCCGGAGGGCCTCCAGGCCCCCGGTGTACCTGGTGAAGTCGATCATGATGTCCGCGCGGCCCTCATGCACTTCCGTGAACGTGAGCGGGGTCACGTCGCTCCACACCTTCAGGGCCTCTGCCATCGTCCGCTGCACCTGCCCCCGCACCAGCTGCCACGGGTACCGGAGGATCCTGGGAGGGGGGAGAGGGGAAGCCTGGGCCTCACTCAGGGCAGGGGCAGCCCCTGGTGGCTACTGGGCCAGCGTCACTCAGCGGGGGTGGCAGGACACAGGACACAGGCCAGATGAGCTGCAGGTGTGGTGCATGCATGTGGGTTTGTGTCTTTGGCGCACACAGGTGTCCGCATTCAGTGGGACGAACACGGGACCCGGGGGCCCGCAGACCCACGTGTAGACCCGACTGTACTGCTTGCTCACTGTGGGGTAAACTTGACCCTTTGACCTGCCCCCTCGCAGTTCCCAGTTCCCACCCAAGACATTTCTGAGGCCCCCAGCAGTCACGTGACACCGCAGGGGTCTCCGTGTGCCTTCTCTCCCCAAACAAGTCCCCGTCTGCATGAAGCAGACGTCCCAGCTTCTGCCTCACTCCCAGGGGCCTCAGGGCACCTGAGCTGTTACCTATCTGTCCCCTCAGCCCTGCCCCCCACCTGCATGGATCCTGAATCAGGGTGCTAGATTGGAACCACAGCAAGGTCAATGCCAAGCTCCCCCAGAGGACAGGTTGTGGCCGCCTCATTTCCCATGGAGCCCTGGGGCCTGGCCCTTAGCAGGTGCCCACAGAAGCTGCCTGTGCACTGAGAGCTGTGCGCCAGCAGGTCTGCGGGGCGGCCAGCCACGGGCTGACCGAGCTCTGTCCCTCTGCCGTGGGAGGGCACAGGTGTGGAGGGGTGCTGTCCGTGTGTGCCGCTAAGCTGGGGTTCAGGAGGGTTGGCCCATGGCTGGCTCAGGGGCCAGTGGACACACAGCTTCGTTAGCCACGGATAGCTAGCGTGCCTCCCGAAACAGGCGTATGGGGGGGGGGGGGGGACACAGACACACACACCGTGTTCTAGCTTTCGCTCATGGCGGAGGGCCCTACCTGTAGGTGAGGTCCGTCTTCTCCCAGCGCCCACCCGACAGCACGAACCGCTTCTTCCTGTGGCGGGCACTCGGCCCATCGGGCGGGTCAGGCACACCGCAGCGGGGCGGCCTGGGGCCCCCGGCCGGACCAGGAGCCTCCTGTGCAGCGGGGGCAGGTGCCAGGCTGCTGGGGGAAGCTCCATGCCAGGCCTGCGGCCCCCTCCTCAGCAGCAGGCGGCGGCGGTGGGTGTCCTGGGCAGGAGAGAGAGGATGGGGGGGGCGGGGGCAGGTCAGGCCTCTACTCCTCATGGCTCCCTGTTAGGGCTGTGGGCTGTCAGCCGCACACTCAGCCCCAGGCCGCTGTGTCTCACTGTCGCCCTGCAGGCCCGTTAGCATGAGAGGACTGGTTTCCAGCCTCCTGCTGCCTGCCATTCCGGCCTGGAAGGGTCCAGAACTGCCTGTCACCTGCTGCGGCCAATTGGGCTGATGAGGTCTGAGTGCTGGCACAGAGACTATCCCCAGCAATAGACCCCACAACGCTCTGAGGACAGGCAGTGCCTCCTGCTTCCCCACTTCTCCCCCCATCACCTACCCCCTGCCCCCGCAAATGCCATTTACCTCCCTTTCTTCCGGAGTCCCCTCCCTTCCGGTCCCAGCCCCCACGTCCCGTAAGCTACCCCTGCCCAGACTCCCACCGCAGGCACGCGTGGAGGCCTGCAGCTCTGCCTCGATTTGCTCACCTGACAAATGGGGCTAATTCCTCCCCATCGGGTTGGTCTGAGGATGAGCCAAGGTCATGCATTTAAAGCGCACAGCCTGGGGCTGGGTGCACAGCAGGGCTAGCTGTGGTCTGCCTGCCCCCTCCATGCCTGAGTGTGAGTGTGTGTGTGTGTGTGTGTGTGTGTGTGGAGAGAGAGAGAGAGAGAGAGAGAGAGAGAGAAAGAGAGAGAGAGAGCGCGCAATTGCCAGCTGTCCAGCCCTAGCCAGAGCCCCAGGTGATTCTGACCTGGAGCTGCCACCCTCTGGAAGTCCCAGGGTTCATGAGAAAGTTCTATGTAGTTCTATAAAAAAGCGGAAGCTCGGAAAGGCTGGGAGACCCTGTGAAACCCTCCAGCCAGGGCGTGGCGGGGCCAGGTGAGGACTCTGGCTGCGGACCCTGCAAAGCCGGAGGAGAGGCGCGTGGCGCTGTTTGCTGAGATACCCGGTGGCTGTCTGGTCTGGGCAGCCGTGGCCTCCCCACAGCCATATTTGGGGTGGGAGCCGGGCCGCCCAGGCCCCACCCTCAGCCTCGGCCTCGGCCTCGGCCTCTGGCAGCTCTCCCAGGCCCCGGGCTCCTGATCAGCATCCTCACCCCCCTCCCTCAAGCTCCCAGTTATGGAGCCACCAACTCAACGCCCCAGAGCCGCCCAGACTCAACCCCCCAGAATACCCCACTATGAAGGGGTCTTCCGAACCTCTAGGCAGGCGGCTATGGGGCTACTTGGTATGTGGGGCCCAGGACCAGTTTTCCCTCGATCTGAGCTTGCTTATTAAATGGTTGGTTCCTGCCAGTACCGGTTTGGCTCAGTGGATAGAGCGTCGGCCTGCAGGCTGAAGGGTCCCAGGTTCGATTCCGGTCAAGGGCATGTGCCTTGGTTGTGGGCACATTCCCGGTGGGGAGTGTGCAGGAGGCAGCTGATCGGTGTTTCTCTCTCATCAATGTTTCTAGTTCTCTGGCCCTCTCCCTTCCTCTCTGTAAAATATCAATAAAATATAAAAATAAAATAAAAATAAATGGTTGGTTCCTGGGTTGTGGGTACCACCCCATTAAGTACTCATCACTGTTGCAGTTCACCTGTATGGAGGCCAGGTCCCTGCCCACAGCTCCTCGGGCATGCTGGGGCCGCTCACCAACCCCACCTTCACCACGCCCATTTCTCAGACGGGGAAGTGGAGCCCAAAGAAGCTCAGCAATCTGTCCCGGTAAGGGCTGGCAGACAGCAGGCTGTCGGGGCTCGCAGCCCGCCCTCCCTGCTCTTAGGGCTGGAGTCACGCCTCTCCTGGAGGAGGGACCCAGGGGCCTCGCCTTGGTGAGGAAGAGAAGGCGTGGGGAGATAATAAGCGCCCACTACTTCCCCGGCTCCTTGCAGGCGGCTCATTGGACCTCCCGCTCCTCCCATAAGGCAGGGATGATACATGCGCAAGGTCTCACACAGAGGATGTGGACCCAGGTGTGTGTGAGCAGCCACGAGGGCCTGCCCCTGCCCCTCCCCACACCACGCCCTTGACCTTCAGGGTACAGTTTCCTTCCCCACACTGGGGCTGGGGTAAAGGACCCTCCCTGGGAAGGGCGTGGCCAGCTCAGCGTATGCCCCTGGGCAGGAATCTCTCTCTCTCTCTCTCTCTCTCTCTCTCTCTCTCTCTCTCTCTCTCTCTCTCTCCTCCAAGCCCACCCCCAGAGACTGTACTCTCAGTGCAGTAGAAAGAGCCACAGGCTGAGATTCACAAGACCCCGTTCTAGGCCCCGGCAGCCCGGGACAGAGCGGGCCTGGGCAAGCCACTGTCCTCTCTTAGCCTCGATTTCCCCAGCTACACAACAGGAAGAGTGCCAGGGCCACGGGCGGCACGGCCTCCTTCTGTAACGCCTGCTGCAGCCCCTGGCAGGGCGTCTTCCCTGGTTCCGCTCCTTGCCTCCGGGAGCCCTCCTGTCCGACACCTGGGGGCCTGCCGTCACCAAATTCCCCGGCGTCCCACCCCCCACCTGGCATCGGCTCCCCCAGAGTCTCCCTCCGGCTTTCCGTCAGGAAACGGGGGTTGCAGTCAGAAGGGAGCTTGCAAACCCAGAGAAGAGTGACCTCTGCAGGGTCTCCCCACAGGCAGAGGCCTCCCGCTCCCTCTCTGTGTGGCCGTCATGGGCCTTGGAAAGAGAGTGAGCAGAAGGCTCCAGAAGGAAGGCCTCCAGCCAGTAGGATCTTCTGGGGGGAAGCCCATCACTTAAGAGCTCTTGGCCTCTTCCCCCCCATTCCTGGGAGGGGACACAGGCTCCCTGCCCCGCTGACCTTCCACACTGCACCTCTCCGAGTCCTTCCTGGCCCGAGCCCATAGGGCTTGGCTGTGAGGCCTGGCCCCAGGCAGTCCACTGGTTCCTCAAGTGGGCAGGCTGGTCCTCCCGGGGCTGCTGGGATGCAGAGAGCTGGGTGCTGGGCCCTGGGGGTCAGGGATCAAGCAAGCCTTTTCCAGAGCCCAGAGAGGTCAAGGACTTTACCCAGGGTCACACAGCAAGTGCGGCAAGAGCTGGTCCTAGATCCAGAGCTCACCCTTGCCCACCTCCCCAGCTCTCCTTGTACCCCCTTAGCTCTCGGCCTGTCTCCAAACCCCACGTTGCTGAGAAGCGTTGGGTGTGCCCCCTCCTCCTGCGCTGGCATCCGCCCGTGGCCCGCCCGTGTGCCAGGAGTCCAGCTCGCTCACCCCTATCTCCGGCGGCGGGCACCAAACCACAGCCTCAAACATCCTCGAGGAATTTCTCCGCTGACTCAATCTCTTGGCTGAGCTCAGAGGCTCAAGGTCAGCCTCCGGGACAACTTCCAATCGGGAAAATGGGAGGCATCCGGTAGAGGGGAGATAAAGGAGGACCCCAGACTAGGAGGCTGCTGGGTACAGCCCCCTCCATGGGCCTCAGTTTGCTCCTGGTCCAACAGAGATCTTTAACTACCGCTGTGCCGTCTGCTGTTGGCAGGAGGTGACCCTGCCAGGAGGCGGTGAGGAGGACAGGGGAGCATCACCACGCCATTCTATTTAGCATCGAGCCCCTCTGAGGCTCAGAGAGGCCAAGCAACCTAGCCAGGTCACACAGCCAGTGGGCAGGCAGGTCCGTCTTCTCTCCAATGCTGCAGCCTAATCTTCTCCTTCTCACCCCCCTGCCCCCCACCTCCCCCCAGCTGGTCCCAGGGGCTTCGGGGCTTTCATCAGCCCTGAAAGCGGCTGAGCTGCGATGGATAAATATTTACATAGCTTCCCTGGCCCTGCCAACAGCGCCTGCGGATAAACACATCGGGGCGACCCCAAATGCTCTCTGCATATCTGCAGGGACAGGCAACAGCCCGGCTCAGGCCTGGCCCCGACTGACCCTGCGCAAACATCCACGGGGGCAGCTCCAGGTGACGGAATGTCTCCAGAGTGCCCGGCTGTCCCACTCCTCAAAGCATCTCATTTAAGATCAATGCCCAGTGGGCACTGTGACCTCTTACCCGCTTCACACAAGACTGGGAGGGTGGGGTTCAGAGGCACAAGAGGGCTCACCGCGAGTCACCTGGTTCAAGCCCAGATCTCGCCCATTATTTCTGAACCCGTGGGTTCAACTGCCCCAAGATCTAGGGGGCTGCGTGTGAGGGGCTGGGGAAGGGGCAAAGCTTCCAGACTGAGGTGCCTCACCCTCACCCTGCCCCATGCATCCCATCTCCTCAGCCAGCGAGGCCAAGGCTGGCCAGGGCAGAGCTGGGGGGGCGGGCTGGACAGAGGGGCCCAGCCTGGTCAAACTTCCCTCCTCACCAGGCCACACTCCTGCTTAGCACACCTCCTCCTCCTGGTTTCCTACCTGCCTGACTGGATGGCTACCCTGTCAGCAGGGGTGGGATGCAGCCAGAGCCTGCAGGTGCCCAGGCTCTGACTCCAGGCTCTGCCTGGCCACCCCTGTCACTGGTCCTTCAAAGCCTCAGCTTGAGGGGAGCATTCAGCTTTCTGGGCACATGCAGGCTGTGTGTGTGTGTGTCCCCACTCCCCCAGGACTGGCCCTCCTCTTCTCCTCTCTCACATGGACTCGCTTCTTTAGCTCACACATCCTCCCCCCTTTCCTCGCTCTCCCACCCCTTTGCCCCCTGAGGTTCTCAGTTCTCCTTCCTTGCTTTCTCTCAGTCCTGCACACACACTGCGGCTCTCGTGCTCAGGCTCCCAAACCTGCCACCGGCAGGTGCCTAGGCTCAGACACCAGTCCCCCCCAGTTCTTCCTGGATCCTCCAGCCCACTGCTCATCTGCCACACGCCTGGAGGCTGACACCAGCCTGGGACCTGCTCTGCTTTGTCCCTGATAGAGCGGCCCATGACCCCGCCCCTCTGCGGCTGCCCAGGAACACCCCAACACCTGCGGCTGGGGCTGGGGCGCCGAGGAGCGGGTTCCCACGCTGCCAGGGGGCGTGTGTCCAGCGCCGAGTCCCGCCTCGCCAGCAGCCCCGAGGCGGGATCCCCAGGCACGCTCCACTTGCACACCTCCTGGGACGGGCAGCTCACTATCCCGCCCGCAGGGGACCCAGGAGAGGGTTTGGATAACGGGTTGCTCCAGGGGGCGGGGGGGTGTCACCGGGGCGCCCCGTGGGTCCAGCTCGGTCTCTGGGCCCGGCCCGCGTGCCCGGGGCACCCCTGGCCGGGAGCGGGCGGCCGGCGGCGGGGGCGGGCACTCACCGGCGGCCGCGGGGCCCCCGCCAGCGGCGGCGGCGGCAGGAGCAGCAGCAGCAGCGGCAACAGGAGGGCGCGCGGGGCCGCGCCGCGGAGGAGCCGAGTGGCCCGAGCCATCCGCCCCGGGGCTGCTGGGCCTGCTGGGCCGCTCCGGCCGCCGCCCCTTATAGCCCGCGCCCCGCCCCCGCCCCGCCCCCCGCGCCTTTTGTTCCCAGCTCGCCCCGCCGCCCGCCCGGCTGGGGGAGGTGGAGAGGGAGCTGCCGGCCCCGGGTAAGGGGCCTGGGGCCCCGGAGACACCCCCTCCCTTCCCCCGGACTAACCAGGGGGCGGGCTGAGCCTGTGGGCTGAGTCGGCCTGGGGCTGGGTGACCCTGGCCAAGGGGTACTTGCTCCGGGCCTCAGTTTCCCCACAATGTGCGGCGGGGAGTCAGAGAGGAGTCGAGGTGCACGCCTGCCTCCTGGTCCCTACCCCCGTCTTTGGGAGGCGCATCCCCGGCAGGTCTCCCTGGTGGCCTGGCCTCTGAGCTCCCGGGAGCCTGCGACAGGTGGTTGTACCCACAGGCAAGTCCCTACTCGGAGCCTTGCTGAGAAAAGAAGCAGTGAAATGTGGCACAGGGCCGAAACAGGTTTAGCTCAGTGGATAGAGCATCAGCCTGCCGACCGGAATCGAATCCCGGGTTCGATTCCGGTCAAGGTCATGTACCTTGGTTGCGGGCACATCCTCAGCGGGGAGCGTGCAAGAGGCAGCTGATGGATGTTTCTAACTCTCTATCCCTTTCCCTTCCTCTCTGTAAAAAATCAATAAAATATTTAAAAAAAGAAATGTGTCCCAGGGGAAACCGAGGCATATGGAGACCGGCCAGGCCCCCCCAGCTATGGGACATAGACAATTTATATTGATCTATCGATCTGGACACTAAGGTCCCAAGAGTTCTCCATACCAGTGTGAGCAGGCGTTCCCCTAGGGAGGGAGGTGGGAGGTACTGATAGAGGAGAGTGGGGCCCTGGGGGTGGACCAACAGGCTCTTCGGGGCTCCTGAGACCCAAAGCCGGGGGGTGGTGTCCACACGCTGGAAGGGGCTGGCCAGTCTTCGGCTCCCTGTGATGACCAGGCCTTACCATCGCACCAGGCTGCCTGCTCCATCCCGGGCAGCACCGCTGAGCCAAAAAGCAGGCGGTGGCTTTTGTCCTGGTGGGCAGGGGTCCCGGGTGTCACAGGGTGAGGCTGTGGGCACCCAGCCTGGGGCGGGAAGAAGGCCGGGAGGGAGCAGAGGACAAGCAGATTGATTGGTGGACTGAACCCTGGGTCCTGGTCCCAGCCCCCTGGGAGCCTTCACGGCTTCCCCAGGAAGGCTCCACAGCGACGCCCAGAGGACGAGGAGGTGGCTGACAGCAGAGCGTTTTATTGCGTCCTAACGGTTAACAATATTTTGTTTCAAGTGACTCACTTTTAAAAATTGAGATACTTGCTGGGACCGGTTTGGCTCAGTGGATGGAGCGTCAGCCTGCGGACTGAAGGGTTCCAGGTTCGATTCCGGTCAGGGCATGTGCCTTGGTTGCGGGCACATCCCCAGTGGGGGTGTGTGGGAGAGGCAACTGATCGATGATTCTCTCTCATCAATGTTTCTAGCTCTCTATCCCTCTCTCTTCCTCTCTGTGGAAAATCAATAAAATATATAAAAGAAAAAATCTTCAGCTTCCTTCTTAGCAATATTGGTCAAGAAATCATGGATTTGGTGAGAGAATTGCACGTTTCCCTGATAGGCATGAAAGGTAACTTTCAATAAAAACGTTTATTAAGTGGTCTCCAGGGCATCTGGGAGCCTGAAGTCCACCATTCATGAGAGCGGAAGTAGCAGCCACCTGCAGGGCAGGCCCAGGGAGGTGGGGGAGGGGGGAGGACATGGTTATAAGCTAACCATGCACTCAGTAAGGTGGTCTGGTCACTGAGGGCTCCCTGCCAGAGGAGGGCCCTGCTAAGCCTTGAAGGAGCCCACTTGGCATATTGGAACAGGTGGGCAGGGACGGCAGGAGCAAAGGAGTAGGGGCTGGACCAGGACTGGCATGTCAGCTCTGCCCTAGCTGGTTTCGCTCAGTGGATAGAGCATCCCAAGTTCAATTCCAGGTTTCAGGCTCCATCCCTAGTACGGGACGAGCAGGAAGCAGCCGATCCATGATTGCTGCCCTAGGCTGCCCGTGCCTGGCGTGCATTTTGGCCAGGAAAAAGTCGAAGACGGGTTCCGGACTCCCCCTGGCGGGGTTTCTGGATTCGGGTCCCACTAGGCCTTCCCCCCTCCTGTTCCCCCCCACACACCCGCACCTCTTCGCAGCTCTAATCCGACCCCCACCCCCACCCCCGCGACCCTGAGATCGCACAGAAGTCCGCAAACGGCTGGCGCCCCATGCCCACTCCCAGGCGGGCCTCCCCCGCTCGCCTCTCCCTCTGCGCCCTCTGTCTGGCCTGGGGCAGCACCCAACTCCGCTCCCTGAGCCTCGCGATTGCCTCGCGAAACCCCTCTGCGCCCGGCGACATTGGCGCCGGTCCCCGGGGCGCACACAGCTCGGGACAGGCAGCAGGGAGGGCGCAGAGCCGGGTTTCCAGCTGAAAAGGCCGCGGAGAGCCGGGGGGCAGGCTGCAGGAGGTGAGCCCGGGCCCCCGGGAGCGAGGTGCCGCCGCGCGCCCCGCCCGGCCCTCTGGGGGCGTGTCCCAGAGGGGCGGACTCCCCGCCCACTAGAGGCGTGTCTCTCCGAGGCCCCGCCCCTCGTGCGCAGCAGTGACCAGCGGTGCCGCGCAGGCCGCGGAGACAGAATCGCCACCCGCGTTGCGGTCTCTGGTCAGCTTCGCCGAGTCCTCCCGCCACGACCATGCCCCGAGGGAGCCGCAGCGTGGCCGCCCGGCCGGCCAGGTGAGAGGGGCCCGGGAGGCGCCCCTGGAGGAGGAAGAGGAGGAGGAGGAGGAGGCGGCGGCGGCTGGGGAGCGCGTGCTCTCCAAGGGCGCGATGGTGTGACCTTGGGGACGCCTGCGCCATCTTAGCGGGGGTGCGGGTGGGGTGGGGGCGAGGGAATGCTGCCACCACGTGTCTTTAAGACCGTGTCACCCACCCTACGGAGGAGGGAAGGGGGCCAGGTCCAGGGGCTGCAGGCCCCTCGGGCCCCCTGGCCTGGGCTCGGGCCAGGATTAACCCCGCGTCTCCTTCCCCCGCAGCCGCCCCGCCGCACCTGCCGCCCACCCGCCCGCCCACCCTCCGCCCTCGGCCGCCGCGCCGGCGCCCGCCCCGTCGGGCCAGCCGGGCTTGATGGCGCAGATGGCGTCCACGGCCGCCGGGGTGGCCGTGGGCTCGGCCGTCGGGCATGTCATGGGCAGCGCCCTGACCGGAGCCTTCAGTGGGGGGAGCTCGGAGCCAGCCCAACCTGCTGCTCAGCAGGTGAGCATTGGGGTTCCCCTCCCCTGCCCCCCGAGAAACTGAGGCCCACCTCTCTGAAGGCCGCAGAGCAGGGAGGCAGCTGGAATGTCCACCGAGTTGTGTCCGGGCATTTTCCTGAGCTGCCTCAGGCCCAGGACTTTGCCCAACCAGGTTCCTATTTTTCACTCTGCTGTCGCCCTTCTATGGCTCACAGGCTGGCTCTCCCAGACCCTCCCCCCAAGGCCACGGTCCCTGGACTCCCAGGGACAGGTGCCAACGGGCCCTTTAGGGATGGGGAAACCTCATGACGCTAGGGCCCAAGGTCACCGGACACCAGTCAAAGGAGAGATGTGGAAATTCCCCAGTCTTCCCTCTCCCCGACCTACGTCAGGTGTTGTCACTGGTGACTCTAGGGCCTGCTTCCTTCTGACCCGTTACCCACTGGGCACCCCACTAGCCCTGAGCCAAGTGCAGATTTCGTGGCAGGGTCAGAGGTCACGAGGATCAGCATGGCTGAGCCGGGAAATTGCTAGAACCTATGGGGGTGGGGCTCATACTCACCAGGCTTTTCGAGATTCTTCTGCCCCTCCTACCTGCCCCACATGCCCCTACCAGGCAGCAGGGAGATGCTGTCTAGCTTCAGCCGAGTGGCTCTGAGAGGGCTGTGGGGCTCACCCTGTCTAACGGATGGGCCAGTCAGCCTGCCTGGAGCTTTGGGGCTCCCGGGCTGGGGTTGTGGGGAGGGAGAGGGGACACCCAGCTTTGGAACCCACTTCTCATGACCAACCTTGAGCTGACCTTGCTGCCTCCTGCGTCGCCACCCACCGCAGGCCCCTGCCCGTGCCACCTCCCAGCTGGGGCCCTGCGCCTATGAGATCCAGCAGTTCCTGGACTGCTCCACCACGCAGAGGGACCTGACCCTGTGTGAGGGCTTCAGCGAGGCCCTGAAGCAGTGCAAGTACAACCATGGTGAGCGAGCCATCAGCCCCCGTCCGGGGGGGGGGGGGCTGTGAGGGACATCCCCTCTCCCTCTGCCTTTGGGCTGACCGCCGGTCCGTACCACTTCCCCCCTCACAGGTCTGAGCTCCTTGCCCTGAAGAGACCAGGGGGCACATGGTGCGGATTGGAGCAGATTTGGGTCCAGCTCTGCACTCAACTCCACCCCTTCACCGACAGCCAGACCAAAGCGCCAGAATGTACCCACGTAGCTCACCCCATAGATGGCCCGAGACACGAATGTGCAATTAAAAGTTTATCTTAGACCAGAGCCCGCTGTGTGCCATCTCACTGGCTGGTCTGCCCGGGAGCTCGGTGGTTGAAGGGGGCGGGGGGGTGGATGATTCACATGCCGCCTCCTGCGTGGAAGGAGGAGCTGGCTGTAACCCCGCAGCCCTGAGCCCTCAGCGCGGGCAGTGAGGCCTTGGCAGGTGACTTAAAAGGTGTCTGACTCCGGGAGCTGGAATTCCCAGGCGTCCACTCTCCTAGGGATGCCTACCCTCACTTCCCCCCCCCCCCCCGACCTTTTTAAAAATTTTATTTTTAAATATACTTTTATTGTTCAGAGAGGAACAGAGAGGGATAGAGACATCCATGATGAGAGAGAATCATTGACTGGCTGCCTCCTGCACGCCCCCTACTGGGGGTGATCGAGCCCACAACCCCGGCATAGTGCCCTTGACCCGAATTGAACGGGGGACCCTTCCGTTCATAAACCAACGCGCTATCCAATGAGCTACACCAGACAGGGCTGGCCCTCCACCTTCCTTGTCTCTGCACCCACACCTGAGGGGTCCGCAGCCGCCTCGCAGCCTGTCTGTGATCTCGCTCCTCTTGCTGATACAACTCCATCGTCCCAGACTTCCTAAGAGGCATGCTGCCCGGCTGCTGTCTGTCTGGGCCTGATTCACCAAGGCAGAGGTCACGGCCAACCCCCCAGGGATCGGGGCCTAGCGGGACCTCTAGGGTGTGATGTGCCCGCCCTCACGGGGCTGCTGGGACAGAGGAGCACGCGCCCCGTCCCACGTGCTGTGCTATTGCCTTCTGGGAATTCGTTCGGCAGCTCTGCGTTGAGCCTTTCCTGAATGCCAGTCCCAGGCCCCATCCCCTGGGCACTGAGGATGTCCTTGCCCTTGGGCACTCCCACTCCCGTGGGGTGGTGGGTGCCCGCCTCCGGGTACACTGTGTTCCACCTTTCATGTGATAGGGGTGGGGAGTGGGGGCCTGTTCACCTCTCTCAGGACATGGGTGTCTGCCTCTGGGGAAAGGGCCCCCCTTCTGGGTGCGCATGTCCTTCCAGGTACCCATGTCTCCCTTACCCGGCGTCTGGCCCCAGCTAGCGGGGCCTGGGCATCAGGGAGCCCAGCCGTTGGGACCTTGACGGACGGCCTGGGTCCTGGTGGCCACGCCGGGTGCGGGTTCGGGTGCCGGTGCGCCTCCTCCGGCCGTTGTCCAGCGGGGGGAGGCCCGACAGGCCGCGCAGCACCTCTGAGAGGCCCAGGAAGCCCCGCCTATCAGGGCTGGAAGAAGATGCTCCTCCCCTCCCCCCCCACCCCCCGCACCCCACCCCCGCACCGCCCCTCGCCCCTCGGGGCTCGGCCATGACACTCACCGGCCAGCTCTGGACTGCGGACCTCCAGGTCCTCCAGCAGGGACTCATAGCGCGTGGGGGCCCCCCCCTCCCCGCCTGTGGGCGGAGGAGGAATGGCTCCCGCCTGGCCCCTGCTTCTCCCTGGCTCAGGCTGGGGTCAGGGCTAGGTTTTGGCCAACGTGGGGAGCTGGGTCAGGCCTTGGGTGGTCCCCTCTTACGTTCCAGCCTAACCGCAGCGGGAGGGGAGCGGGTCGGAGGCCCCACTTACGGATGATCTGCACGAGGACGTAGGTGCCACGCTCCTGCAGCAGCGGGGGGCTGCCTGGGGAGGGGGCCTGTGTCGTCCCCTCCTCCAGGCCATCGCCCAGACTCACCAGGTGCCCATCCTCAGCCAGGAGGGCGATGGTTGCTGAGAGGGCAGGGAGGGAGGCAGGGGAGGGCTGGCACCCATGGCTGGCACCCAGCCCTGGGCCCCCACCTCCTCACCCCTCCTTGCCCCTCACCGTCAGGAGGCACCCGCCCCCTCTGCCGCAGGTGGGCCGTGAGAGTCACCGGGCTGCACCGCGGGTTCACCAGCTCCCGGCAGCCAGCTGTGGGGAGGGGCAGAGGTGAGTGAGTGGGACCCTCTACGTTCCCCCACTCTGGGACCCTCTGCCTCCCCCATTTCTCTCTCTCTCTCTCTCTCTCTTTTTTTTTTTTTTAAATATATTTTATTGATTTTGTACAGAGAGGAAGGGAGAGAGATAGAGTTAGAAACATCTATGAGAGGGAGTCATCAATCAGCTGCCTCATGCACACCCCCTACTGGGGATATGCCCACAACCAAGGTACATGCCCTTGACGGGAATCGAACCCGGGACCTTTCAGTCCCCAAGCCGACGCTCCATCCATTGAGCCAAACCGGTTTCGGCTCTCTCTCTCTTTTAAAATATATATTTTATTGATTTTTTACAGAGGGGAAAGGAGAGGGATAGAGTGTTAGAAACATGGATGGGAGAGAAACATCGATCAGCTGCCTCCTGCACACCTCCTACTGGGGAACATGCCCTTGACCGGAATCGAACCTGGGACCCTTCAGTGGGCAGGCCGACAATCTATCCACTGAGCCAAACCTGTTAGGGCTCGCTCTCTCTCTCTCTCTCTCTCTCTCTCTCTCTCTCTCTCTCGTTTAAGTGATTTGTTTTATTGAGATAAAATTTACATCGTATTAAATCCACCATTGTAACCAAACGACGATGCAGTGGCATTTAGCACATTCACAGAGTTGTGCGACCATCACTGCTGTTGTGTGTGGGTTTTTTTAAACCTCACATGAGCATATGTCTTACAGATTTTAGAGAGAGGGGAAAGGAGAGAGGGAAAGGAAGAGCAGCATCGACATAGGAGAGACACATTGATGGGCTGCCACCCGCGTGCGCTCAGACGAGATGGGACCCGAAGCCCAGGCAGGAGCCCTGACTGGGAATCACACTGTCTCAGTCTTCTGGTGCGTGGGACAGCGCGCCAACCAGCTGAGCCACACCAGCCTGGCATATCTATTTCTAAAATATTTCACGCCCCAAATAAACAACATGCCCACTACGCAGTTACTTTTAATATATGTATTATATATTAAATATATATATATTATTGATTTCAGAGAGGAAGGTAGAAAGAGAGAGAGATAGAAACATCAATGATGAGCTGAAACCGGTTTGGCTCAGTGGTAGAGCGTCGGTCTGCGGTCGATTCCGGTCAAGGGCATTTACCTTGGTTGGGGGCACATCCCGGTAGGGGGTGTGCAAGAGGCAACTGGTCGATGTTTCTCTCTCATCGACGTTTCTAGCTCTCTATCTCTCTCCCTTCCTCTATGTGAAAAATCAGTAAAATATATTAAAAAGAAGAAGAAGAAAAAAGAAACACCAATGATGAGAGAGAATCATTGACTGGCTGCCTCCTGCACGCCCCCTACTGGGGATCAAGCCCACGAACCGGGCATGTGCCCTTGACTGGAATCGAACCCCGGGACCTTTCGATCCACAGGCCCACGCTCTATCCACTGAGCCAAACCAGCTAGGGCTTTTGTTTTTAATTAGAGTTTGCATTCATCATTATTTTGGGTTAGTTTCAGGTGTACAGCAGAGTGGTTCTCCCATCTCTTAACCGGAGCAGGGACCCAGGCGGCACCCCACCCCCACCATCTCCGGAGCGGTCAGTGATGGGTGCACAGCTCATGCCGCCTGCACCGGCCGCCCTCCCGCCACGGGCTGCCTCCCGCACAGAGCTGGGAGTCTGCGCCGTGGCTGGAGCGTCAGGTGCCCGCTGCACCCTGAGCGGGAGGACCACTGACTGAGTCCACAGCCGAGGAGCTGTCCGTTTAACACATCTCCAAGGTAGCACGGCCGTGTCCTAGGAGCGGGGCGGGTGAGTTTCCGGGTGCCCAGCCAGGGTTTTCCCCTCCAGGGACTCACTCCAGGAACCAGCTCTGCTTCCTCATGGAGCTTCTTCCCCGAACCTCTAACCCCCTTACCCCCTCACTGCCTCCCCCTCCCCAGGGCAGAGGGAAGCAAGCTGAGGGCACCATTCCCTGACCCATCTGCAGGGACAGGGGACCCCACTTACCCCCAAACATCACGGTGATGAACATGGCTGCAGGGGAGTACTCTGACTGCTGACTGAGGAAGGGCCTGGGGCTCAGATCTATTCAGGCCTCAGGCCCTGCTGGAAGGTGCCGTGTGTGGGGTGGATCCGTGGGTGACACTCAGGCTGAGGTCCCTACTTGGCCATCCTTGGGGCTGGGCTCCTGCCGTTGACCAGGCCCTTGGCCTCCTCTTCCTCCCGCTGGCCGGGGCAGTGTAGTGGGAGGGGACAGAGGCCCTCCCAGCTTCCACGCTGGTCTCCATGGCCCTGGGAGCCGCCGAGACCTCCAGGCAGGAAATGCCTTCCCCCCAGTCTCCTGGAAACGGGAGCTGAGGCAGGGCTGTGGTGGGGCTGGAGCCTCCGTTTCCAGGGATGGCCAGAGACCACATTCTCCTACAAGCAGAAACAGGGCCGGACTGAAAGCGGGCGAGGTTCCGAGAGGTGGGGCTCTGGCCCTGTGAGCTGGCAGCTGGCAGCTGGCCAGGGGGCCTGGCAAAGCTTGGGGTCCTCGCCAACGTTGCAGACTCCCCTCCATCTCAAAGCCTCACCTTCTTTCCTCTCCCTCCATCTTCCTCCTCATTCTGTCTCCCCTTTTCCTCTGTCCTCGTTTATTTTCTTTATTTTAAAAAATGTATTTTATTGATTTATTACAGAGAGGAAGGGAGAGGGAGAGAGAGTAAGAAATATCGATGAGAGAGAAACATCGACCAGCTGCCTCCTGCACACCCCCCACTGGGGATGTGCCTGAAACCAAGGTACATGCCCTTGACCAGAATCGAACCTGGGACTTTTCAGTCCAAAGGCTGACACTCTATCCACTGAGCCAAACCAGTTAGGGCTATTTTCTTTCTTTCTTTCTTTCTTTCTTTCTTTCTTTCTTTCTTTCTTTCTTTCTTTCTTCTTTCTTTCTTTCTTTAAAAAAAATATATTTTATTGATTTTTTACAGAGAGGAAGGGAGAGTGATAGAGAGCTAGAAACATTGACCAGCTGCCTCCTGCAGACCCCCTATTGGGGATGTGCCTGCAACCGAGGTACATGTCCTTGACCAGAACCGAACCTTGGACCCTTCAGTCCACAGGCTGATGCTCTATCCACTATCCACTAGTTTCGACAGTTGTTTTTTTTTAACTATTTTTTTTTATTATTATTTCAGAGAGGAAGGAGAGGGAGAGAGAGATAGAAACATCCATCATGAGAGAGAATCATCAATTGGCTGCCTCCTGCATGCAACCTGGGCATATGTCTGACCGGGAATCAAACCGTGACCACTGAGCCACACCTGCCAGGCTTCCTTCTTTTTTTAAGTTTATTGAAGTAAAATTTACCTTCAGTAACATGCACCATTTTTAGTGTTTTGAGTTTGTGTCTTTTAAAAATACATATTTTATTGATTTTTTACAGAGAGGAAAGGAGAGGAATAGAGAGTCAAAAACATCAATGAGAGAATCATTGATCAGCTGCCTCCTGCACATCTTCCACTGGGGATGTGCCCACAACCAAGGTATGTGCCCCCAACTGGAATTGAACCCGAGACCTTTTTTTTTAGTCTGCAGGTCAATCATCCAACTGAGCCAAACTGGTTTCAGCTGCTTCTCTTTCTTTCTCTGTGTTCTCATATGAACAGTGTCTCTGCCTCTCCATCTGCCTTTCTCTTTCTCCCCCCCTCTCCCTCTCCCATCATCTTGCTTCTTTCTTTCTTTCTTTCTTTTTAATATATTTTATTGATTTTTTTACAGAGAGGAAGGGAGAGAGAGAGCTATTATAGAAACGTCGATGAGAGAGAAACACCGACCCAGCTGCCTCTTGCACACCCCCTACTGGGGATGTGCCCGCAACCAATGCACATGCCCTTGACTGGAATCGAACCTGGGACCTTTCAGTCTGCAGACCGAAGCTCTACCGCTGAGCCAAACCGGTTTCGGCCATCTTGGCTCTTTCCTTCTCCCTCATCACCTCCCTTTCTCTTCTCTGCAGTTCTGTCTCCTGCCCCCTCTCCGTGAGCCCCAGCAGAGCCCTCCAGCCAGGGTGCCCAACCTTTGCCAGCTCCCTTTCCGCCAAGGTTTTAGAAATGCCTTGCACTCTCCCCCACCCCATGGTTAGGCAGTCACAGCTCTGGGTGCCCGGGGACTAGGCAGGAGGAGGAGGAGGACCATGGATCCTCCTCCAAGCTTGCCTGCTCAGCCTGCCTCTGAATAAGCATGATCCCCAGGGAGCGAGAACAGGACCCTGGTGAGGACTAAATTCCATGACCCAGCCCAGGGCTCAGCAGGAGCCTGTGCTCAGGATCCGCACTGTGGAAACAGACAGTGTTTCCCAAGCTTATCGGACAGCCTAGGGCGCTTTATTCCGGGGACCCCGCTTATCCGGGGGCCTGGGGCCTGCAGACCGCAGCTCAGGGGGCGCTGCAGCCCGATTCTGAAGAAATGGCCTCTGCGCAGAGGGGTGTGTCGGCTCCTGTTCTCAGGAGGCTCAGGGGGGTCAGGACTCTCACATTTGGGGCGATGGGGCCTGGCAGTTGGGCCCCAGCCACTGCCTCCCCCACCAATCGATGGGCTGATTTGCATGCCCTGTTGTGGTCCAGTAGCCTCCGGGGCCCATGCCCTGCAGCACCTGGAGCGCACCCCACAGAACGGCGCCCGCCCGGCTGCCTGCTGCGGCCATGGCCTGGCGGCGCCTGGCCCTCCTTCTGATCGGAGCCCTCCTGGCAGGTGAGCTCGCCCTGGGCCTGGCTCCCCCGGGGTTGGGGGGGTGGGCTAGGGGACAGCACTCGCTCCAGAAGACCCCCTGCAAAGAAGCCAGTTGAGACGAGCAGGGGGAGGTTCTGGAAGGGGCACCGAGGCGAAGGGGAGAACTGGCTACCCGGGGCTGGCTGTGCCCTAGACCTGGGGCAAGTCACTTCTCTGTGTGGGCCTCAGTTTCTCCATTTCTGATTGACCCGATCACCAGCGTCCCTTTGACCTTGGACTCCTTAGGGTCTGAGAAGGGGCTGGAGCTGATTGCCTTGGGAGTTTTTCACAGGAAAAGCTGGTGTGGGCTGATCCCCACCTCACTGGGCCCGAGGAACAACCTAATTCCAAGGAGGTCCTCGGCATCCAGTTGCTTGAGGCTGAGCTGATGGGTGGGACAGCCCAGAAGCTTCGTGGGGGTGGGTAGTCTGTAGGCAGGGTTTGGCAGAGCCAGTGTGACTGAGGGGATAGGGATCTTCAGGACAAGGGGTGGGCGTGAGCAACGGAGGCCACCAGTCCCACCTTTTATTTATTATTTATTTTTTAAAATATATTTTATTGATTTTAAAAATATATATTTTATTGATTTTTTTACAGAGAGAAAGAGAGAGAGAGAGAGATAGAGAGTTAGAAACAGCGATGAGAGAGAATCATCGATCAGCTGCCTCTTGCACACCCCGTACTGGGGATGTACCTGCAACCAAGGTACATGCCCTTGACCGGAATCGAACCCTGAACCTTTCAGTCTGAGCCAAACCGGTTTTGGCTGATTTTTTTTTTTTTTTTTACAGGGAGGAAGGGAGAAGGATAGAGAGCTAGAAACATCGATGAGAGAGAAACATCAATCAGCTGCCTCTTGCACACCCCCTACTTGGGACATGCCCACAACCAAGGCACATGCCTTTGACTGGAATCGAACCTGGGACCCTTGAGTCCTCAGGCTGACGCTCTATCCCCTGAGCCAAACCGGTCAGGGCCACCAGTCCCACCTTTTAGACTTTAGGCCTTCAGCTGAACACAGATCCTGGGAACGTGGCACTCATGGGGCTTTAGGGGTCACCAACTCCGTACCCCGCCCTGTGCCACACCCATGGCACCAGGTCCCGAGCCCTCCAGGAACAGGAGCTGTTGGGTTAGGGAGTCTGAGCACGGCTTCCTTAAGGCAGAGGTGGGAGAGCAGGGGCCCAGGGCAGCCAGGCCTGAGCAGGTCTGTCTCTTCCAGGCTCCCGGCCGGTCCTGACCCAGCCAGATGCACTGCTGGTGTTCCCGGGCCAAGTGGCCCAGATCTCCTGCATGCTTAACCCCCGCCTCGCTGCCGTGGGCGACTATGGCGTGTCCTGGTACCAGCAGCGGGCGGGAAGCGCCCCCCGCTACCTCCTCTACTACCGCTCAGAGGAGGACCAAAGCCGCTCCCCGGACCTCCCTGACCGCTTCTCGGCAGCCACAGACGCAGCCCAAAACGCCTGCCTCCTGATCATCAGCCCCGTGCAGCCCGAGGACGACGCAGATTATTACTGCTCCGTCGGTTACATACCCTAGGGGTGGGGGGGTGGGATGGATGCCTCCTATCTCCCACGTCTGTCCCTGACCTTGGGCCTCTCTCTTGGAACTTGCTCTGAGCCTTGATTTTCCTCCTCTGTAAAATGGGCTAATAATATGCAACTTGTCAATATTGACATGAAAAAGTGACTGTGGTTGGTCGGGGAGAGTGGAGGGATTCTGGGGATTGGTGCATAAGAGGAAGCACTTGAGACCCTTGGGACAGGGCCCAGCCTCTCTCCACGGGTCCCCAGGGGTTTCAGACAGGTCGCTTGGCCTTCCTGTGACCCCAGGAAAAAAAAGGAACCAGCCTTGCCACTCCCAGCTCTGTGCAGCTGGTTGTGGTCCAATGCTCACTGAGTGACACCTGAGTTCCCAAGGATCCCAGGCTGCTAGGTAGGGGAGGGGCGGTCCCTACCTACTCCTTATGGAGCAGGGAGGCAGCTGTGTGTGTGTGTGTGTGTGTGTGTGTGTGTGTAGGGCCCTCAGAGGCACCTGAGGGCGAGGGTGGAGGGTGTGAAGGCGGTGGGCAGATGGCAGGGCTGGCTGAGTGGGCAGCATCCCCCCCCAGGAACACGTGTTCTATAGGTCTCCAATGAGAGGCCTCTGCCCTCACTCTCCCCAGGGAGGCTCTCCCACAGGCAGGTGGGCCCAGGAGGAAGCACAGAGGGAGGGGCATGTCCTGCCATCAGAAGCAGAGCTGAGAGTCTGGGAGTGGGGTGGGGGGTTCAAGAACACATCCCTCTTTCCACCCCCTTCCTTCCTCCCCCCCATTTCCTCTAGGTAGGGGGCGTCTCATGCCTGGAGGTCACCCCTCAAATGTCCTGAGTCCAGAGAGGGTGCAGCCAACACTCGCAGCCCTCTACGGGGAGTATGGGGGGGGTCCTCCGCCGGCCCTTCTCATTCTCGTCTCCGTGGTGGCTGGATGGGCAGGCAGGACCAGGAAGGGATGATGATGAATCCCCGGGGCTCCTGGGCTTATGGGAGGTGATGGGCTCCCCTCTGGAATCCCCTTCTCCTTCTCTTGAGGACCCCATACACCTGGCGGCCCCTGGCTGCGCCCATCCCCAGGGCACGTGCAGTCGGCCTGCCCTTCCCGGCCTCAGTTTCCTCCCCTGCACTCCTGCCCAGCTCTGCCCTCCTCCCAGCCGGACTCACTCCGGGAGGGCGGCCCAGAGACACTGCGTCCGACAGGAGAGACTCTCCCGATCCCTGTGCTGGAGCTTGGAGCTCAGCAGCTGCGCGCCCGCCCGCCTGGCGCGGCGGGACCACCGAGACGCGAGGACCTCCGCGCGGCCTAGAGCGGTCCCGGAAGTGCCTGCGGGCGGGGGGCGGGGGGCGGGGGGCGGGGCTCCGGCGCTGGGCCACCGCGGGCTCCGCGTCAGCAGCTGCCCGGGAGCCAGGCCGGGTCGGCCGCGGGTTGGAGCAGCTCAGGTGCGGCCCCGCCCCGGCCCCCGGCGGCCCCGCCCCGGCCCAGGTGAGCGGCTCCGCCCCGGCCCAGGTGAGTGGTGAGCGGCCCCGCGGAGAGCCCGTGTGCCCACCTGTCCCTCCGGGGTCCCCGGGGCGAGTGTCTCCGTTGGAGGGAAGCATGTTGTGGGGGCACCGGCGTCGCCGCCGCCCGGCCGGCGTGTGCGTGTCCGCGGCCGCTCGCTGGCCTCCGGCCAGAGAGCCCTGACCGGCCCGAGGTCCGCCCGCTGCCGGGCCGTGCGGGCTCCCCCGAGGATGGGGTGACGGATGCAGGAGCAGCAGCCGGGGAAGGCCCTGCTGAGAGAAGTGGGGAGCATGGGATCTCATACCTTTGGCTTTTTTTTTTTTTTTTTTTTTTTTTTTTGTCCAAAACCGTTTAAAACATTGTTGGGGGACAGATGAAGGTTTGCCAACTTCTTAAATAGAGTGGAGACTTCAGGTGTATAGGTGGTACATAGTGGGAATGGACAATTCCTAAGGAGGAAACGTTGGAAACACCGGGATTTAACAGGTGGGTGGGAGAAGAGTTGCAACGCACAGAAGGAGGGATCCCAGGCCATGAAAATTGGGGGGGGATCTTTCAAAATCCCAGGGACTAAGGCAGGATGTGGGAGTGGGGTGATTTGTCCAGCAAGCTCAAAGCCTTGAGGCGTCCAGGTAGGCAAAGTGGGTTTAGGAAAGGGATGAGCCCCTATTGTCACATCTTTAGTTTTTTTTTGGCGTGTTTTTTTTTCTTCAAGGCCAGAAACCTACTGAGTTTTCCATGTTGGCAAGCTAAGTCAAACAAAAAGGAAAAGCCCAACTCTGTTGAGAGCCAGACAAAACGTGTCTATGGCAGGATCCCCAGGCTGCCAATTTTCATCCTCTCAAATGAAGGGTTTTGAGAAGGAGGTATGGGTGAGCAGTGCCAGAAGGGGTGGGGCAGGGGGCGGAGAAGAGAGGATTGGCAGTGAGGAGGTCATTGGATGCTGGAGCCGAGTGCCGAAGTCCCGGCTGAAATTGGAAACTGGAAATCTGTCTCGGTGCCATACACAGTCGTATGATTTTCCTTGGCAGCGCTTGACATTTCATGAGGAACTGGCAGAGGTGTTGGTGGCCGGTTACAGAAGGGCAGGGAATTGAGGAATGTGATGCTGGTCAGAGAGTTAGCTGAAGGGATGTCTATAGTTAGACCCACTATGGAAGGAGGGGATCTAAGCTAGGTGGGAGTGGTAGAACTAGAAGAGGAGAAGGAAGTGAAGATGGGGAAATATTAGCCCTAGCCGGTTTGGCTCAGTGGAGAGAGCGTTGGCCTGCGGGCTGAAGGGTCCTGGGTTGGATTCAGATCAAGGGCACATGCCTGGGTTGCAAGCTCAATCCCCAGTAGGAGGCAGCCAATCAATGATCCTCATCATTGATGTTCCTCTCTTTCTCCCTTCCTCCCTCCTTCTCTCTCCCTCTCCCTTCCTCTCTAAAGTCAATAAAAATAAAAAAATAAAAAATGGGGAGCTACTAGATTTGGTGCATTTGAGTGAGAGAACTGGAAGGACTGGAGATTATGGTTGCTGAAGAGGAGGGTAAGAAGAGGTAAAATGAGCAAAGACAATTCATTAAAGTGGCTGAAATTCATTAAGAACATATTTCCAAATAGAAATGGCTCCATCATGACTATTCTGACTAATGTATATATTTGGATTCAGTTACTCTCTAAGCTTCAAGGTAATTATAGTAATAGTAGTGCCTTTGTATAGAGTTGTAAAGATTAACTGAGAAACAGTTGTAAAGGTCTAGTAGTGTCTAGCACAGAACAGATAATCAATAAACATGGCCTGTTCTCATTAGGGTAGCTTGGGATTTCCCTTTAGCTGCACAGAAGTTTCTGAATGGGGTCCTGAGAGGCTCCCTTGGGCCACCACAGGGGCTGAGGGGCTGAGTGGGGTGTTTTAGCTTCCTTCTTTGTTCCTATAGAAACACCCTCCTTCAACTGCAGCAGCCATGCTTTTGTCTGCTTATTTGTTTACTAAAGGCCCGATGCACAAATTTGTGCATGGTGGAGTCCGGCTGGCCCACCCCAATCCTGGGGGCTGATCGAGGTGGGGCCAGCTGGGGAAGGGGTCGGGGGGAGGGGCGGGGGAGGTAGGCAGCTGGCCCTGCCCCCTGGTCGAATTCCCAGTTGAGGGGACAATTTGCATATTAGCCTTTTATTATACAGGATATCTCCCAGAGAATTGATTTTTTTGGATAAAGAGTTCTAGTGTGAAAATCAGTTCTAGCACAAAACCAGATAGTTTTTCCTCCATGCAATTATATATTAATTCAATGAATGTAAGTGTAGAGATTGTCCTGTTGTGCTGGAGCTCAGGGTTCCAAAATGAAGGAGCACACGACTTGCCCTTAAAGGGCTCACAGTGGTGGGGAGAGTCCTGTTAATCATGTTTGCCACCCAGGGTGGTGAGTGCTGGATGGATGTGTGCACCAAGCTCCATGGGTCACGGAGGGCTGTGCCTGAGGGTGACAGAAGAGGGGACATTGGGACTGAGTCTGGAAGGTTGAGAGAGGGGAGGGGCCTGGTAGGCAGAGGAAACAGCAGCACAAATGAAATGGAAGGCTAGGGGTGTGTGAAAGGAGAGGCCAGAGATGGGCTGGAAGGGCCATGCATGTGGGCCTTTGAATGAGCTGAGCTGTCACAGGCTCCTAAGAAGAGAAATGGCACGATCAGGCCGGTATTTGGGGTATTTCACACTGGTGTCAATGCAGGGAACGGGCCAGAGGGAGGAATAGATGTTGGGGATAGACAGCCATTTGGGAGGGGAGTATCGAAATAATCTCGGGGATTTGCGCTGAGGCCTGAGCTCCAGAATAGCAGCGAAGACAGAGAGGCAGAGACAGACCCCTCAATAAAGCTCAGGAAATGGAAGGACAGGCCATGCAGGTGAGAGAGGAACAAGGTCTAGGCCGGCTCTCAGAGTTGTGGCTGGGGCACCAGGCGGAAGAAAGTGCACTCTCTTTCCCAACAAAACCCCATTCCCAACGTCCTCCAGTAGGTGGAGTGTTGTGCCTTTTCCACATGGCTCCACTTCCTGCTCTAACCCACCTTTCTGAACACCCTCAGCCTTTAGAGTCTAGACACTATGGTGTGGTGTTTGATTCTGTAATTTCTCTGACTTTTTTTGCAGTTGTTTATGATAAATCAAACTTCTGTCTAACCCAGTGGAGATCAAAGCAAAGGGCAAGATTGTGACTTTTTGTTTTGTTTTATTTTGTTAATCCTCACCTGAGGATATTTTTTCATTGATCTTTTTTTTGGGGGGAAAGGGGGAGAGAGAAAAACAGTAAGAGTGAGAGCGAGAGAGAGATGTGAGAGAGACAGATTGATTGGTTATCTCTTGAAAGTGCCCCAACTGGGCTGGGAATCCAACCTGCAACCCAGGTATGTGCCCTTGACCTGGAATCCAACCCAATATCCTTCAGTGTATGGGCTGTCAGTCTAACCACTGAACGCACTGGCCAGGGCCAAGGTTTTATCTTACACTTTTGTTATTATCTACCACTGATTCTAAGTGCTTGACTTGTCTGCTTGACAATGTCCCTTTTCTTTTCAGATCGTAAGAACAGTGTGTCCCAAAGAAGAACATCTTTCAAGAAATACAGTCCTTGGGGGTGATAACAGATCCACAATGGAGATTCCCCCGGCATCCAAGCTCGGCGAGACCTTTGTGTTTGACGATGGGTTGGAGATGCAACAAGAACTTTTCCCGGAGGAGGACCTAGGGGACTCATTTCTCCAGGAAAGAGGTTTAGAGCAAATGGCTGTTATCTATAAGGAGATCCCTCTTGGGGAGCCAAACGAGGAACATGATGATTACGAGGGGAATTTCAGTCTGTGCTCAAGCCCTGATCAGCATCAGAGCATCCCCCAAGGAAACAAACCCCAGGACGATGACATATTTGGCCAGACCTTCCTCCAGAAGTCAGACCTCAGTATGTGTGAGTTCATCCATGGCGGAGAAGAACCCAGCAGACAGGACCATGCGCTCGTGGGCAGGGAGGACTCGGGGCCCAATGCACCTCTCAGAACTGCACAACCGCCGAAGCCCTACGCGTGCCGGGAATGCGGGAAGGCCTTCAGCCAGAGCTCACACCTGCTCAGGCACCTGGTGATCCACACCGGGGAGAAGCCCTACGAGTGCTGTGAGTGCGGGAAGGCCTTCAGCCAGAGCTCGCACCTCCTCAGACATCAGATAATCCACACGGGGGAGAAGCCCTACGAGTGCCCGGACTGTGGGAAAGCCTTCCGCCAGAGCTCAGCCCTCACACAGCATCGGAAAACCCACACTGGGAAGAGGCCCTACGAGTGCAGGGAATGCGGGAAAGACTTCAGCCGGACCTCCAGCCTGAGAAAACACGAGAGAATTCACACGGGGGAGAAACCTTACCAGTGTAAGGAGTGCGGGAAATCCTTCAAGCAGAGCTCGGGCCTGAGCCAGCATCGGAAAATCCACACCCTCAAGAAACCTCACCAGTGCGAGCTCTGCGGGAAGGCCTTCTGCCACCGGTCCCACCTCATCCGGCACCAGAGGATTCACACTGGGAAGAAACCGTACGCCTGTGAGGAGTGCGGGAAGGCCTTCAGCCAGAGCTCCAACCTCATCGAGCACCGCAAGACCCACACGGGCGAGAAGCCCTACAAGTGCCACAAGTGCGGGAAGGCCTTCAGCCAGAGCTCCTCCCTCATCGAGCACCAGCGGATCCACACCGGGGAGAAGCCGTACGAGTGCGGCCAGTGCGGGAAGGCCTTCTGCCACAGCTCCGCCCTCATCCAGCACCAGAGGATCCACACCGGGAAGAAGCCCTACGCCTGCAACGAGTGCGGCAAAGCCTTCCGGCACAGGTCGGCCCTCATCGAGCACTATAAGACCCACACCAGAGAGAAACCCTACGAGTGTAACAGATGTGGCAAGTCCTTCAGGGGGAGTTCACACCTTATCCGGCACCAGAAAATCCATGCAGGGGAGAAGCTCTAGAAGGAGGAGTTCACACCAAAGCTTGACAGCCTTTCCCCGGTGGAGTCGCTTTGTCTGCAGGGCTCTATCCACCTGCCCGCCAACAGAGTTGACCCTGGGTGCTCCTGAGCACCCACACCAGCTGCAAGGGCCCCTCTTGGCCAGGCGCCCTGGGATCAGCAGGTTTTCTGAGCACACAGAAGGGTAGGGGAGGGGGATAGAAAGGCTGCCAGAACGGCTGAGCACCCGAAAAGAGAGGGGGCCTTCGATTTTCTCATTCTCCCCATTTGACTACCAAGCCTGTGAGGTTCAGTTCTGCCCTCTATTCCAGAATCCAGAGGAGAAATGACTGTAAGAGGGAGAAATTTGAGTAGAAACCCATGAGAATGTCAGGTGAGAACTGTAACAACCGTTCTCACCGTTCACATTAGCTAAAGAAAAATGAATCCAGAAAGTAGATACCTCAGCCACCAAATGGAATCTTCTGCCTGGTTTGGGTCGTCCTTGCAGGGACAACCCAAACAGGTTCCAGAACAAAGGGAGTGTCTGGAAGGATTAGGTTTGGGATGGGGAGTGGGGGTGCGAGTCCCTGGTGTGGTCTCTGAATCCTGTTCCGTGTTAGAGTGAGGGCGGTTTCTTTCAGGGAGAGGAGAGGTTCGGTCCTGCAGGCCAGAGCCCAGCTCTGACTCAGCCCAGGCCCAAGGCTTCAGTGCCTCCGGGAGTAGCCCCCCCACGACCCAGGGCTCCTAACACCGCAGCGTGCCTTGGCCATCAGCAGGGCCCCTTACTGGTCCGGCAGCTATGCAGCCTCCACCGCCAGTGCAGGGGCAGGCGGGGTGATTCCATCAGAGATCTGGGTTCAGGTCTCAGGTCCATCCCTCCTACCTATGTGTCCACGAGGAAGCCCCAAGGCTCAGTTTTCCTGCCCGTGAAATGGAGATAGTGGGATCTGGCCCCGTACCTCTAAGGACGGGTGCAAGGCTCCCATTCAGAATGATAGCACACGTGAAAGTGCTCTGACAACTGGAGATTGAGTATGGATACCCAGGGTGACCTCTGAGTGTCCCCTCCCCCCGGCCCCTCCTGGAAACACTGTCCCCGAAACCTGGAGAGGCATCCCCATCTGCTTCCTGACACGGCAGAGCCTGCAGCAGGCCCTCATTAAACCAGGCCCTCCCACACGCCTCAGGCTCGTACCCTGGGCCGGGGGTGCCCTGTGTTTATCTCACACATGTTTCCTGGAAGCCATCCTGAGCCTGCCTGTGGTGGTCATCCATGTCCCATATTTCTCTTGGTTCTCTCCCCCTCCCTACCCCCTCACCCCAGCCAACTGGTGTTCATCTGGGACCAATTCAGTGGGCATCCCCAGAGGTGGGGCTCAGCGGTGTGTTTTTGAAGCTGCCAGGTGGTTATGATGTCCCAGCATGCATCTGGGCTGAGACATAGTTAATCATGCAACCCTACATCTCTCACATGTCAGGCCTGCTTGCCCTGGCTGAGCAGAGCCTGAAGATGGCCCAGGAACCACACACTGACAGGGCTGGCTAGCTGGTCACTGTTTGTCCCAGGCCCCCGGGCCTTCGTGTGCCCATGAGGATCCAGTGCTGGCACTCCCCCCAGGTTTCTCAGCTAGTGTGGGCGGAGGCAGTCTGGAATCCCACGAACCTACCTATCGTGGTAAAGCTGGTTATTTCAGCCAATCAGAAGCTCAGCTCGGCGGATATGTGTAGTTTTGATGAGTAAAATGGGTGAGCCTCCCTGGCTAGTTTTCTCAGTGGTTAGGGAGTCTGCCCTCAGACCAAAGAGTCACAGGTTCGATTCTGGTCAAGGGCACATATCTCAGTTGTAGGCTCAATCCCTGGCCCCCCAATCTGTGTATGTGGGAGGCAACCAATCCATGTGTCTCTCTCACATCAACGTTTCTCTCTCTATGCCTCTCCCCCTCCCTTCAACACTTCCTCAAAATCAATGGGGAAAAAATATTCTCGGGTGAGGATTAACTAAAAATAAAATGGGAGAGTCATAATTGTCACTGAGTAAGTGGGGCTTGGTAGCCAGAGATTTTAAAAGGAATCGTCTGATGGTCTGGGAAGATCACTTCTGTCAAGTCCCTCTTCGCTATGTGAAACATTTAGCCAGCACCCCAGGCTCCCCAGACCCTGCTGTACCACAGCTGGGCTGGTCAGTGGCGCCTGGCAATGTTGGGAGGAGGCCTGCAACCAGGCTCTGTAGTCATTTACCAGGAGCGAGGAGAGAATGCTGGGACACCTGCTTGGTGCGGGTGACAGCAGCCACCAAGCCCACCAGATCTACCTCCTGGCACCCCCTCATTCTGTGCCTATCAGGCAGGCATCAGTTTCCCTCCCACCTCTAATGTCTCCCTCCACATCCTGTGCACCCCAACCAAACCGATTTTTTTAAAGCATCCCTTTGCACATGTCACCACTCCCCTTAAAACCAACCTTTGGGGGTATTTCTGCACATAAGCCCCCATTTCAGCCAATCTGCTTCACCCCCCTCTACACAAGCCACATGGCGTTCAAGCCCGCCTCTGTCCTCAGCTCACCCCCAGCCTCTCTCAACTCATTTTGTGCTGTTCTCGCATTTTGAAATATGCACTTTCTCCCCCTGTACCCTCTGCCACCCGTCTCCTTTCTTCCTTTTGACAATTTGCGTAACAGGATAAAAACCCCTTTCTGAAGGGTTGACGGATTCTTAACCATGGTTAAGACCAGGTACTTGTCATTTTTGGAAGTGTGAGTAAAACTAGTTCTCTGTTCAATGTATTTCATGGTTTGACTATGTATTTAAATTCCTTTCACTTTATTCAGGTCTCGGTGTAATGTTATAAGGGATTGCCCTGGTAACACTTTAATCGTCCTTGAATTTAGTTGCTTTTGTTGTGTTTTTCCCCGGATGTTAGATGTTGAGTGTTGTAAAGCTCCCAACTCGTGATTTTGTTTATTAGTTGGATTGTTGTGTCAAAGTATATGTGTTCTGGTGGGTTGTTGGTTTTTTAGCTTAATACTTTATGTTTCTAAGATTAATTAGACATATATTGATTTTAGAGAGGAAGGGAGAGAGAGAAACACGGATTGGCTGCCTTCTGCACGTGCCCTGTTGGGGGATCAAATCCTCAACCTGGCTCTGGGCCCTGACTGGAAATCAGAATCGAACCTGCAGCCTTCTGGCGCATGGGATGATGCTCCAACCAACTGAGCCACACAGCCAGGGCATTAGTTAATCATATTTTTACTATTTCTAGTAAAGGTAGGTAATTTTGTCTGATTTTTTTTTTTAATTGTTAGAGCTTTTCCTGCACTCCATAAGTTTGACATGTGGTATTTCTTGTTGTTATATTATTAATTTCCTTTTGGCCCAAGTGTTATTATTACTTTTTTATATTTCCAAGTGATGAATGCTTAAGGCATTATTGTTATTTCTTACTTTATTGTGGTTTCAACATTTCAAAGTGCCCACAGGATTTCTTTGGGCCTGAGTATATTCGTTTTTATGAAGCATTTGTGTACTCTTAAGAAATATGTTTTTACTCCATCAGTTCTATTTGTTAGCTCCATTTTAAAACGATTTTATACAAATTAATATTTTCTCTAATTGTGTTTACTTCAGGGTCCATGGCCTGCCTCGGGTCTTCGGCACACAGGGCTTTTAAAAGGCTGTGGACCCCCAGGGCCTGAACAGAGCTGTGTGGGCATGCGTATGAGTGGGTGGTCCTGGGTCTATAGCATTCTCCTTATTTTGGAAGGCCTCTGTGACGCCAAAAGAGTTAAGAACACTTTCTTACCTGATCTAATTGTAGTCTGATTTTGTGTTTTTTTCTTTATGTGGTTTCTGTTCCTTTTTTATGTGTGTTGCTATTTTAGTCATGCAATTATCTCAGCTCTTTGGAGGAATAGGCAGGGTATCTGTTGTCAATAAGTAAATATCAAGGTGTTTGGGATATATATATATATATACACACACACACACTTAATAGTGATATATTGAAAACCTGTGCCTTTTTGTGCCCTATTTGCCTCTTCATGCTTCTAGCTTAAACTTCTCTTTTCAGAATATTATAATTGCTTTTCTTGCATTTGCATGGGAGTTTAACTCAGCATTTTAATTTTTAAATGTGTGTGTATATTTTGCTATATACCTGTAACTTATAAACACCAAATTCTTGGATTTGATTTTCTGATTCTTGCTGTGATCCTTTTCCTTCTTATGTAGGAAGTTCTGTCATTGGCATTATTGTTTTTTTTGTTTTTGTTTTTAATATATTTTATTGATTTTGTACAGAGAGGAAGGGAGAGAGATAGAGAGCTAGAAACATCGATGAGAGAGAGTCATCAATCAGCTGCCTCTTGCACACCACCCACTGGGGATATGCCCGAAACCAAGGTACATGCCCTTGACCGGAATCGAACCCGGGACCCTTCAGTCCCCAAGCCGACGCTCTATCCACTGAGCCAAACCGGTCCCGGCGGCATTGTTTAGAGTAAGGTAGACGTTTGCACTTTAACATTTTAGTTTCTGGTAATTCATTGAACCCACAGAGGCCATGCTCATTCATGTGTGAAGTCTGCCGTTGGGCGCACCTCTCCTTGCCTTCATCAGTGCCAGGTTCTCTCATAGGCCCACTCGTCAAGTCACAGGCTCTGTTGTCAGTGTCCTGGGCTGCAGTGTGGGGGAATGGTGCCACCTCAGCCTCGTGGAGGCCAGAGGACGGAGAACAAACCTGCATGGCAAACAGCAGGCACAGACCATCGCCACACTATTCCTATTTTGCATATTTAATTTTCTGTCCTTACTCCTAAAGTCCTTTGAACATAAAGCATTATGTTGTGCTTTCCCTTTCAGAGAATCCTACCAGATGTAGCAAAGAATTAAGTAGGCATCACAGGTCCATCCGCCCGCCCAGAGTGAACCCACAGTCATCTGAAGAGAGGTGGGGGCCCCGGTCTCATGACCCCCGTCCCTACCACCTGTCTGTCAACCTTCCCCCTTCTCCCCTGCACCCCTCCTGGGGCGGGGGAAGGGAACACTGCAAAGGCTCAAGGAGACGGCCCCTTATGGCCGCTCCCGTTACAGTGGGGAAACTGAGGCCAGTGACTTACCAGAGGTGCGACGTAGGGTCTGATCCACAGGCAGTCGTGGGGAAGAACGTTCTGGATGCTACGCCGGAGCCCGGCCAGCTGCTGCCAGGGTTTATCAGAGGTGGCAGGTGGGGTTAGCCATCTCGGGCCGAGGTAAAAACCAAATTGCCTCCATCTGTTCAGAGTTGCCCAACTCTTGGGGGTAATGGACATTTGCAAACATCACACAAAACGGATATGTTTACTAGAATGCCGATGCCTTGATTTACTGGGGGAACCCCATCTTCAGCATCTGATAACCCAGACACCAAGGTGGGTGCGAAGTTGGTGTGTCTCTCTCACATTGATGTTTCTCTTTCTCTCTCTCCTTCCCTGCCCCTCTCTCTCTAAAAATCAATAGGAAAAATATCCTCAGGTGTATTACCAAAAAACAGAACTAGGACTGATTCTGCTGGTGTGTCCTCGACCCCGTGGGGGGGGGGGGGGTAGAGGTGTCCAGCCTGACGGGGTGAGGGGGAGGGGCTGAGGGTGGGGAGGAGCTGAGCTGGGCACGGAGGGAGCAGGGCATCCCAGGGGGCGAGAGCTTATCTGGCCGTCACCGGCCATAGCCAGCTCCGTCCGAGCAGGAGGGAAGGAACATCATGGGCTGGAGGAGGGATGGGGGGAGGAGAGGGCAGAGGGACTGAAAGGTGACCGGACTCCTGTGCCCTGGCCAGGTTCCCGCGAGGTGCCCCAGGAAACTCCTGCGGGCACAGAGGATCCTCCCGCCCCACCCCGAGAACCAGGGAGAGCCACACATTAAAAATGAGACCACGAAAGAACGAGCAGGGAGCACGAGTTCTGATTGACAAGAACGTCTTGAGACTTGATTGGGTTCAGGGAGCAGGGCTGGGGAGGACTCAGGTGGAAGGGGAGACCCTCCCAGAGGTGCCGAGTCTGCAGCCCCGAGGGTGGGGGGCTCAGGGCCCTAGGAACACTCTGCGGGGGCCACCGCCTTCTCCACGGTGCCCGCCTCGTGCGTGACCTGGCAGCTGTAGCTGCCGCCAGATCGCCACTTGGCGGGCGTGAGGCTCAGGAAGCTGCTGGCCGCGTACTTGTTGTTGCTCTGCTTGGAGGGCTTGGTGGTCTCCACGCCCTGGGTGACGGGGGTGCCGTCCGCCTTCCAGGCCACCGTCACGCGGCCCGGGCGGAAGCCACTGATGAGACACACCAGGGTGGCCCTGTCCGTGCGGAGCTCCTCGGGGGAGGGCGGGAACAGAGTGACCGAGGGCGCCGACTGGGGCTGGCCTGCAGCACAGAGGAGGAGTGTGAGCCGCGGAGGGGGAGCGGGTGTTGGTGCAGCCCCCCTACTGATCTACACCCTCTGCGACCCGTCATTGTGTCCGTGTTTGTTCACCCAGGGAGCCTCGTTCCTCCTCCTCCTCCTCCTCCTCCTCCTCCTCCTTTTTTTAAAAAAATATATTTTATTGATTTTTTACAGAGAGGAAGGGAGAGGGATAGAGAGCTAGAAACGTCGATGAGAGAGAATCATCGACCAGCTGCCTCCTGCACATCCACCACCGGGGATGTGCCCACAACCAAGGTACATGCCCATGACCGGAATCGAACCTGGGACCTTTCAGTCCGCAGACCGACGCTCTATCCACCGAGCCAAACCGGTTTTGGCCCCATTAGATATTTTTATGGATTTTGGGGGGAAGCGGGGAGGGAGGGGAAAGGAGAGGGAAAGAAAGAGAAACATGGAAATGGCTCCAGACCAGGAATCAAGCCAGCCACCCTTTGGTGCCCAGGACGCCGACGCCCAAACAACTGAGCCACACAGGCCAGGGCCTTGGCGCGGGTTCTGAAGGCTGGGAGGGCAGAGGGGAAGCAGCCTGCAGGGAGAAGGTGGGTTTCCCAGGACAGCAGTGGGGGGGGGCACCAGGGAAGGGGGAAGAGAGGCGCTTACCAAGGACGATGAGCTGTGTCCCGCTGCTGAAGACGTACCACGGCGACTGGAGATCCGACCACAACCCGGGCCAGCACCGGGGGCCCGTGCCCTGGGGGCCGGTCCCGAGCAGGAACCTGCTGGGCATGATGGGCACAGGCACAGGTGGGCGCCCGGGCACACTGGGTGTCCTGGTGCCTGGCTCCCTTCCCGAGGCAGGTACCCCCTGAGCTTTGGAGTCACCTGTGTGTGACCCCTGGAGGCTGCCCCGGTCACCACTGAACCCTCAGTCTGACATGTCCCTCAGGCAGCTGAGGTACGGCCGACGACCCTGAACTTGAACTTGCTCGATCTGCTTGACCTCTCCTGGCCTCATTCTAGGGACGCGGAGGGCTCCTTCCCCACAATTCCCCACGGTCCGGCCAGGTGGGCTGCTTCCCCGGGCCCAGGACACCGGGCATTCCTGACTCCCAGCGTTCGCACGTGGAGAACCCCTTCCGCCTGGTCTCCACACACCAAGACAAGATTCCGTTCTCTCTCCGAAGCCCACTCCGATCTCTTAGACCGCTGTCCTTCTGTCCTTCCATCCATTAGTTCCTCCACCCACCACCCATCCATCATCCAACCGTCCATGTAATAATGGCCCCAAGCCCTTGTCTGCCAGGAGCTGTGTCATGTGCTGAGACGTGGCAGGGCCCCGGTTCTCCTCTCCGTCTCTCCCTAAAACCTCTTGGTTAAGGCCAGCAAGTCCCTCTTCCCTGTCAAGCCTGAGGTCCCCTCCCCCGTTCCTGCTGAGCCTTACGCTCTTGCAGGATGCACCGCAGAGCTGGATCCTCTTCCCGGTGACTCTCTTCCCCTGGGGACCTGAGACCTCTCACTCTTCCTCCTCTGGCTCCCCTTTCTTTTTTAATATATAAGGAGTTTTTAAAAGAACATATTGATTTTTTACAGAGAGAAATGAAGAGAGAGAGAGAGTTAGAAACGTCTATCAGCTACCTCCTGCTTACTGGGGATGTGTCTGCAACCAAGGTACATGCCCTTGACTAGAATTGAACCCAGGGCTCTTCAGTCCATAGACCGACGCTCTATCCACTGAGCCAAACCGGTTTTGGCGTGGCTCCCCTTTCTTTATGGCCCATGCATGGCCACGGACCCATTCGTTGCCATCTCACACTGGATTCCCACTACTGCCTGGATGGCGAGGCTCATGTCCATCCGGCTCCAAGCCTTCTGTCTCCCCAGCTCTGCCCAGATTCCTAGTGAGCGTCTCCACAGGAACCTCAGCTCACCACATTCAACGGAGGCCGGCCACTCTTCTCCCAACCCCGTTCTTTTCTTTCTTTCTTCTATCTTCTTCCTTCCTTCCTTCCTTCCTTCCTTCCTTCCTTCCTTCCTTCCTTCTTTCCTTCCTCCCTCCCTTTATTTCTTTCTTCAATTTTCTTTATTGATTAAGGTAACACATATTTGTCCTCAACCCCCCATTCCAATCCCCCACCCCTCCTCACTCATGCCCCCACCCCCCTATTGTCCTTGACCCCTGGTTAGGCTCATAAGTCCTTTGGTTGATCTCTCCCTTTTATCCCCACCCTCCCTTTGAGGTCCAACAGTCTGACCCATGGCTCCTTATCTCTGGGTCTGTTCTTTTTTTTTTTTTTTTTTTTTAAATATATTTTATTGATTTTTCACAGAGAGGAAGGGAGAGAGATAGAGAGCTAGAAATGTTGATGAGAGAGAAACATCAACCAGATGCCTCCTACACATCCCCTATTGGGGATGTGCCTGCAACCCAGGTACATGCCCCCGACCGGAATCGAACCTGGGACCTTTCAGTCCGCAGACCGACGCTCTATCCACTGAGCTAAACCGGTTTCGGCTCTGGGTCTGTTCTTGTTCATCAGTCTACGTTGTTCACCATTTCTCCTAACCCCGTTCTTTTCTGTCTTCGTCCTGTCACTCATGATCATGAGTGTTCTCACCCCTGCTCACCCGCAGGCCAGAATCCCGTGTGCTTAAATTCAGCGTCGAAACACTCCTTTTTAAAGTCGAAACTAGACGCCCCAGATTGTGTTTTGCTGATTTTAACTTCCCACTTGTACAGGAGTGGCATTGAGCCGGGCCTTATTGGCTGTAAGCATTTCTGCACTTCCACCCCAGAAGCTGGTCCAATCAGCCATGGTTGGTTTTGTGATGCAAAAATAAGATTTTTTTTTGCGTTAATTTTTTTTATTGTTTTAAAATTACACATATAACACAATTAAGCAATATAGAAGTGCACTTTAAAAAGTACACTTAACATTTATCTCTCTACATAGTGCCATTTTCCTTTTTTATTGTGGTAAAATATACACGGCATAAAATTTTCCACTTTAACTCATTCTGTGAGGCTGGTGTTACCCTAATACCAAAAGCAGAGAGCAAGACATTATAAGAAAACTAAAGACGTCTCTCTCATGAATACAGATGCAAAAATGCTCAAAAAATATTTACAAATCAAATCCAACAATGTATAAAAAGAATTATGCACCATGATCAAGTGGAATTTATCTCAGGCATGCAAGACTGGTTCAACATTTGAAAATCAATTAATGTAATCTATCACATCAGCAGGCTAAAGAAGAAAAATTGCATGATTATGTTACTAGATGCAGAAAAAACAATTGACAAATTCAACACCCATTCATGATAAAAACTCTCACAGGAGAACTTACTTAACTTACTAAAAGATGTTTTAAAAAAACCTATAACTAGCCCTGGATGAGTAGGTCAATGATTAGAGCATCATTCGAACACACCAAGGTGTAGGTTTGATCCCCAGTGAGGGCACATACAAGACAACCAATGAATGCATAAAAAATGGAAAAAGTCACCGTTTCTCTCTCTCACCCTCCCTCTCTCTCCTCCCACCCCCCTAAAAATCAATTAAAAAGAAAAAGCAAAAAACCTATAGCTAACATCATAATTAATGGTGAGAAATGTGAAGCTTTCCTGCTAGGTCAGTAACAAGGTAAAGATGTCTCTTCTCACCACTGCTTTTCAATATTGTACTGAACATTGGAGAGCAGGGGCTAACACAGTAAGATAGGAAAATCAAAGATATTCAGATTTGGAGAGAAGAAATGAATGTATAATGTGATTGTAGAAAATCCAAAAAATTCACACACAAACACACACACACACACACACACACACACACACACACAAAATCCAGTTTTGCACAGCAGTTAGATTGTTGGCCTGGGAATGGATTCTGGTCAAGAGCATGTGCCTCGTACCTCTGTTCCAGGTTTGATCCCTGGCCCTGGTTGGGGCATGTGTGGGAGGCAACCAAGCAATGTGTCTCCTCTCTCACATCTATGTTTCTCTCTCTCTCTCTCTCTCTCTCTCTCTCTCTCCCCCCCCCCCGCCTCTTTTCCACTCTCTCTAAAATCAATAGGGGGGAAAAATATTCTCAGGTGAAGATTAGACACCCACAGGTGCTGACACCACACACACACACACACACACGCACGCACGCACGCACATGCACACTCCCGCTGCAGTGCTGGAGCAGCAGAGGATCAGCTCACTCCATTCCAGCCCTTCATTACCTGGTGTGGGTTTCAGACCTATTAGGACCCCGCACTTGGCAGAGGGGGAAACTGAGGCCCGGAGAGGGGGACTTGTCAGCCCAGTTTAGGGGCTGGAGATGGGGGTGGCTGGAAGCCACTGGGCGTGGGCACTGGAGTCTGCACCAGCTGTGTGACTTAGGGCAGGTCACCTCGCCTCTCTGAGCTTATATCCCGGTCTGCGAATGGGATGGCAGCGGGATCTGCCCTGCGGGGCCACTGGGAGGGAGGTCCTGCCCCTAACATGATGGCTGCCCAGGAGGAGTGTGTCATTGTGCCACTGCTTATCTTAAGTGGTTCCGGATGCTCAGCACTTGGTCCAGAACCTCCCACCACACATAGAGAGGAGCGGCTGGGGTCACGCATCAAGATGGGACAGACCAAGGCCCTCAATGCCCTCACCCGCGCCTTTCCCATGGAGGTGTATGTGTCCTGGGTGGGCTCGGGCTCCCTGGAGGCCAGTCCCAGGAGGCAGCCCAGGCTGAGTATCCTTGGCTCAGGGTCTGGTGACCTGAGGACCCCAGGGAAGGCACCCCCACATCAAGGCATCAGCCAGGGTCTGGGCCCCCTGCTCCAGGGGGAAGAGTGAGAACACGGCTCATCGACTCTCACCCGCATGGTCAGGACTCAGAGAAGGAGGCCCGCTCCCTGGGTCAACAGCACCCACACCCCTGGGGATGTCCTGGCCCTGCCTCCGCTTCTGCCCCACCCAGACCAGGTGAGGCACTAGTCTTGGGTGCAAAATTTAAGGGGTGCAAAAAAAAACCCACAAAAAAACAAAACAAAAATAAAACCAGTAAAGAAGAGAAATACATTTTAATACAATATTAAAAAGTAAAAATCAATGCAAACAAATTTACCCTGAACAAAACCAGAGTCTGCCCAGGCCCCTGTTCTCCAGCTCACCCTCCCTTCTCTCCCTTTCCTCCTCACGGCCACTCTCTGTCCCCCACTCCCAGCATGGGCTCAGGGACGCTCAGGTCCCCCACCACAGGACACACTCGGCCCCTTACCTGCCCCACAGGCTCCTCGGGCTGCTCCTTGTCGGGGCTTCGGTGCCAGGAGTCCCTCTGCGAGGCCCCGAGGTGGACAGCAGGCCACGGGCGCCCACAGCCAGGCCCAGCAGCAGCAGGGCCCAGTGCTGCCCGAAGCCAGGCCTCTGCCCTCTGCGGGCCTCAGAGCCCGCCCGCCCTGACCTGGGCCTCATCTGCGCTCAGGGCCAGAGGCGCCTCTGGCTGGCCTGCTGGTGCACGCTTCCCGCGGGGAGGGTGAGGCTGGCAGGTGCCTCTGGCGCCTCTCCCTGACAGTGACTGTGCCGTGTGCCTGGGCCATGGCCCTGTCCTCTGCCTGGGCCTTTTCTGGTCCCTGCCCCCCGGGGAACTCCGCCCTCTCCAGGCCATGGCTGTTCGTTACTCCCGAGGGTCTCTCCCAGCGGGGCATCTGCCAACTGCCGTGCTGTGGTCAGGATCCAGGATTCAGGATTCAACCGCCTCCCGCCACAGCTGCCAGCCTGGCCGGGCCCCTGGGGGGCCCCGCGTGGGGCACACCTGCTCCTGCCCAGGCCCCGCAGGAACTCAGTAACGGAATAAACAGGCCAGGGGAATCTTTCCTGAGGAGTGAGATTTGAGGTAACCGTGGGATCCCGAGTCCATGCAGCCAGCTGGAGGTCACTGACTGACAAGGGACAGCAAGGACACACCCTGAGCAAAGGTTTGGAGGCAACCAAGAGAAGCAAGGGTCGGATCAATTGCAGGGGGCTTCACAGGACACAGACAGCGAGGGGGTGCACCAGCCATGGGACTGGGCACAGAGCTGGGCCGCCTCCAAAGGCTGTGTCATGATCAGGAGTCTGAATTTTCTTCCTTATCCTGTTCAGTCCTGTCCCAAGCCATAGGCAGCTGTCACTCCCTGGGGACGTGGCTGGGTTTTTACTGTATTTTTTTAAATATATTTTTATTGATTTTATACAGAGAGGAAGGGAGAGAGATAGAGAGTTAGAAACATCGATGAAAGAGAGTCATCGATCAGCTGCCTCTTGCACACCCCCTACTGGGGATATGCCCGCAACCAAGGTACATGCCCTTGACCGGAATCGAACCCGGGACCCTTCAGTCCCCAAGCCGACGCTCTATCCATTGAGCCAAACCGGTCCCGGCGTGGCTGGGTTTTTAAAACTATATTTTGTTGATTTTTTTACAGAGAGGAAGAGAGAGGGATAGAGAGTTAGAAACATCGATCAGCTGCCTCCTGTACACACCCCACTGGGGATGTGCCCACAACCAAGGTACATGCCCTTGACCGGAATCGAACCTGGGACCCTTCAGTCTGCAGGCCGACACTCTATCCACTGAGCCAAACCGGTTTTGGCTATCATTTTATTTTTTTCTTATAACTAATTTTATATTGATTGCATGTTGAAATGACAGTATCTGGGATATATTGGGGTAAAACTAATTTCACCTGTTTCCTTTAAAAAAAAAAAAGTAGTTAGCAGAAAATTGGAAATAACAGAAATGGCTTGCATACATACTTTTGAGATCAGGAGACAAGCTTAGAGAGAAGTGCAGGCAAAGCTGGATCTGGGACAAATGAGGGGCTTGGACAAGGGAGAGGGCCAGGTCTGGTGACTGATGAAGAAGGAATAATACGCTATTTTGTTAAGCATCCATTATAGTTAAGGCCAGGTAAGCACTTTACATAAATTAATGGGTGTTATTATTCTCCTTACATACAATGTCGGAAATGCCGGCCTAGATTTCAACTGACCCTGGAAAGGCTGACCTCTGGTGAAGACTCACACTCTGCCTGGCCCGAGGCCTGAGGCCAGGGTCTCCGCGCAGGAATCTGGTGGGGCAGGGGCCTTAGATGATGGAGGAGCCCAGTGCAGCCCTGGTTCTCCGGGTTTATTGTCATAGCACGAAATGCCGGAATCACGAAGGATGAACGCAGAAGGGCAGGTTAAAGGGAGAGACGAGACCCTTTGGGACCACCTGCCTGGCCTTTAACAACATGAGCCTGCCCTGGCTGGTTGGCTCAGTGGTTGGAGCGTAGTCCCACACACCGAAAGGTAGTGGGTTGGATTCAGGTCAGAGCACATACCTACGTTGAGGGTTACCTAGGTTGAGGGTTTGATCCCTGCTCAGGGCATGTATGGGAGGCAATCGATCCATGTTTCTCTCTCTGTGTCTGCCTTCCTTTCTCTTTAAAAATCAATAAAAACATAGTCTAGCTTCTTTCTCTATGCATGCCCACACCTTTCTCCATCTCCCTTTTCACAATCTTTTCCCCAGGGCATGCGTCTCTCTGTCTCTCTACCTCTCTCTCTCTCTCTCTCTCTCTCTCTCTCTCTCTCTCTCTCTCTCTGTCTCTCTCCTGAAATCCAAGGGCCCTTCTTTTGCTATAACTTGTTTCCGAGCCCGTTGCTTCTACAACTCACTTCTACCTCTGTGACTTTCTAAATAAAAAAACACCCCCCAAAGCAAAAACTTGAGCCTGGAGCCTCCTCTTCAGGAACAAAGAAAGGCTGGTGCAGAAAGAGCTCTGTGTATTTGAGGAGGTGAGAGTTCAAAGGGCACCTCAAATAGGCTATGAGCTGAGGGCATTGTTTTACAAAAGAGACTCAGGCACATGTGCCTGCTTTCTGGGGGGACCCCTGCCCCAGGTTATTTTATAAATTTTTTTTTTTATTAATTTTTTACAGAGAGGAATGGAGATAGAGAGGGATAGAGAATCAGAAACATCAATGAGAGAGAAATGTTGATTCAGCTGCCCTCTACACACTCCCCACTGGGGATGTGCCCGTGACCAAGGTACACGCCCTTGACCGGAATCGAACCTGGAACCCTTCAGTCCGCAAGCCGACGCTCTATCCACTGAGCCAAACCAATCAGGGCACACACACACACACCCCCGGGTCATTTTAGCTATGATAAGTGGATGTTCTCAGCCAGGTTTGGGGGCACAGGGGAGAAAGTTTGCCTGGCACCTCTCTGTGCACAGTATGTGGCCCACCACCCAGGGCTCAGGGTGCTGCCCTGGGGGTCAGGGTTGCAGAAACTCACTTGATCCCTCGTTCCCCAACAAGCTAGTTGTGGAGGCCGTGCCCCTCCTGCTGCTGGGTTCCTCGTTGGGTCCAGAGGTTTAGTATCCCTGGCATCCTCAGGCAGGAGGATTTGAGGGTGACCCCCATCACCACACCTGGCATGGCTTGTTTAACACCTGGAGGCAGGAACTGGGTGCTTCTCTTGAGCAGAGGTTGGCAAACGGTGGCCCAAGCGCCACATCGGCCCAGCCCGGCTGCTCCTATGAATGAAGTCGAATAGGAAAGGCCGTGCGCATTTGTTGACGGACTGTCTGTGGCTGCTTTCCTGCTGCAGGGACAGAATGCAGCAGCTGAGAGGAGGGAGGTATCCTCAGTGGCCCAGAAAACCGAGATGATTTACCACCTGGCCCTTCACAGGAAATACCATGGCAGCGCTGCTGTTCTCCTGCCCAGGAGAGTAAATGCATTTCTTTCACCCTGACCAGCGGTTCTCGGCGTGGGTGGTTTTGCCATCCTGGGGACATCTGGCAACGCCTGGAGACATGTTTGTTGTCATAAGTAGGGGCGTGAAGGCACAGGGGCTGACGTTGAGTAGGCAGAGGCCAGGGATGCGGCTCCACTTCCTACAGGGCGGCCCCCAACAAAGGGCTGTCTGGCCCCAAAGTCAATGGCACTGCCGTGGAGCCCCCGCTCTGGACCCATCACTCAGCATCCACTCTCCCCAGAGGCCCAGTGAAGGCACCTCTAAGCTGGCTGACCCGGTAACTTCTGGGAATAACCAGGTGACAGGAGAGGGCCCTGTCCTTGGCCAGAGAGTCTCTGTCCTCCACCCCAAAGGTGCTTGTCAGGTCCCTGCCCCCATAACCCACAGGGGTCAGTCTCTTGGTACCTTCGTTAGTTCTTGGGTGCGTCCTACCCATTTTGACCTGACACAGAACCCCCGGGGCCACCTTAGTGTAACTCAGCACACCAGTCAGAGACCAAACAACTTCCCGAAACACCAGCAGCTTTAATCCCCCAACCCAGCCTCCAGCAGGGCCCAGCTGGACAAGGAGCGACTCCCTCGCTCTGCACAACCCATGACCCACCCTTCTGCTCGCCTTCTCCGTTGGGGATGCAACGCCCTTCCGTCTTCAGTTCCCGGCGAGCGTGCCCGGGGGCACCTGGGACACGGAAGCAGCAGGCTCCTTTTCTTCCTCGTTCTCCGGCTCCATCTTCTCCCTCTCCCATCTCTGGGCACCCACCGCACAGTAGTACACAGCCTCGTCCTCAGGCTGCAGCTCGGAGATACTCAAGTACCCCGTGTTCTCGACCTCGTCTTTGGATCCAGAGAAGCGTGGAGGGACCTTGGGGCCGTGTTTCTTGTCCGAATGGGAGAAATATCTCAGCAAGAATCTGGGAGGGTGTCCGGGCCGCTGCTGGTACCAGTAGATGCTATAAATGCTGACATCATGGTCCCTGCTCAACGTGCAGGCCAGACGGATGGTGGTTCCAAGGTAGGAGGACACGGACGGTGGCTGATCCAGCACTGGCTGAGGGCCACAACCTGGGGACCGAGAAGAACATGGACACCCGGGGCAGGGCAGGGCAGCGCAAGGGAAGGGGCCCGCGGCTGTGAACTCTGGGGAGTTCTCACCTGTGAGGTAGGCGAGGAGCGCCAGCAGGACAGGAGCCCAGGACATGCTGCAGACGTGCCGAGCTCTGCCTCCTGAATTGTGCAGCCTCCACTCCTGGGGCTCTCTGGGGTCTGGGCAGCATCCTCCTCCACCCTCCCAGGGGTGGGGCCATTGCACACCCAGTTCCAGCCACCGGCATCCCAGACTTTCTTGGGTTTGCAGCATCAGTTAGGGGAATGGTCCCATGGCGGCCTTTGTGGCTATCGCCTTGTCCTCATACAAGCATTCAGGGAGGAAACACCTGCTGGGAGCTCACACTCCAGTGCCCAGCAGGCCAGCCTGCCAGCTTGGGTCCCTGAGGGAGACGGACCTCAGCGTCCCCTCGAGAAAGCCGGGCCCCACAGAAACAAGATTCTCTTGTCCAAAGTTACATGCCCGGTGAACTGGGAAGAGGACACATCCTGAAGGTGGTGGAACACCTGCTCTGAGCAACAGAAAATGTTGGGCCCTGATGGTGAGTGAGACACTGTTTCTGAGCACTCGCTACCCACAAACCTAGAGCGACTCTTCCCTCACCACGGTCCAACCCAGGCCTGGCCCCAGCCCTGCTGAGCGCGCCTCTCCACCACAGTCAGCCTAAGGGTCCACTGGAGCGCTGACCCGCTGTTCCCAGGGAGGCCTGTGTGGAGGGGCAGAGAGCCCTGGCAGAGCTGAGAACACTCCTGAGACGCTCCGGCTTCCTCCTGCCATGCAGAACGAACTCCGGAGCTGGGTTAAATGAGCGGGGGGGGGGGGGGGGGGGGGGTGCCGGGACTGGTTTGGCTCAATGGATAGAGCGTCGGCTTGGGGACTGAAGGGTCCCGGGTTCGATTCCGGTCAAGGGCATGTGCTTGGTTGCGGGCATGTCCCTGGTGGGGGGTGTGCAAGAGGCAGCTGATCGATGACTCTCTCTCATCGATGTTTCTAACTCTCTATCGCTCTCCCTTCCTTTCTGTATAAAATCAATAAAATATATTAAAAAGATAAATAAATGAGCGGTGGGGTTCTGGTTTTGCTTCTCTGCCAACTGATTGCACTACTTACCATAGTTCCAACCTAAGCCATGGCCTCTAGATACAACGGGGGTGGGGGGGGGCCTGGAGAACAGACCCTAGGGTGGCAGGGTGGAGGCCAGGGGGGATCAGAGTGGTGGCAGCCGAGGCAGAGAAAATTGATTGGATCTCAGATATGTTTTTAAGACAGTGATGGATAGCGAGTGAGGGGGGCAGGGGGGATCCAGAATGCTTCCAAGGCATAGGTTTTGAGCAACAAGGCAGATGGAGCTGCAGTTTTGGAGAGAGAGAGCCTGCCAAGGATTGGGCTCAGAATCAGAAGTTCTGTTTGAAAGGAAAATCTCATTGTGATTCTTAATTTTTTGGCATTTCCCAGCCTTCGTTTGACCATTGAACTTTTTTTTTTCTTTTCTTCTTCCAGATCATCTATCAGGGCTAAGATTCCAAAAGAAAAAGCAAGTTAGGAAAGTGGCTACAGGGCCCAAAGGAAATGTGTATATGCTATTGTTTAAAATATATTAAAATATGGTCATTTTTACGTAACCCTAGCGCTCTAACACACTCAAAAAACTACTTTTATTTTCCAGTTCATCTTCCAGACATATTTCACACAGTTCATTCATTCATTCATTCCACAAATGTTTATAGTATTGAAGGAAGCCTGCAATACACACCTGTAGTTTTATTTATTTTTAATTTTTTAATTTTTATTTTTTTATATATTTTATTGATTTTGTACAGAGAGTAAGGGAGAGAGATAGAGAGTTTGAAACATCGATGAGAGAGTCATCGATCAGCTGCCTCTTACACACCCCCTACTGGAGATATGCCCGCAACCAAGGTACATGCCCTTGACGGGAATCGAACCTGGGGCCGGTCAGTCCCCAAGCCGACGCTCTATCCACTGAGCCAAACCGGTCCCGGCCACACCTGTATTTTAATTATTGTAATTATTCACAGCATATATGCCTTCATGCTTATTATCCAGCTTTTTCATAATTATTGTCATGATGATTGTCATGATTGCTCCCCCATGGCGGGAAAGAATGCGAACCGCCTGGAGATTTGCCAAGACCGACTCCCAGGGCCGGAACGCACAAAGCGCGGAACCCAGGGAGGGAGACGTGCAGCGGCCGGAGGGCAGACGCGGGGACGCCAGCGGCTGCCGGACCCGGAAGAAGGGGTTGCAAGTGGCCGCCCCGCGGGGAGCGGGACTGAAGCGGGAGCCGCTCGGGGCTGCGGGTGAGAGGCCGGCGGCGGGCGCTGCGCTGGGCGGCTCCGGGGTGTGGGGAGCGCGGGCCTTTCTGGAGCAGGTTCCCCCGATGCTGGCGGGGCACCGAGGGCCGGGCCTCACGGCTGGAGAGCGGGTCCCGGCCGCGCTCTTTGAATTCTCTCCGCCTTTTCCCTGGAGGGGGTGGACCCCAGGGCCTCCTGTGGGAGTTCGGGGAGGTGCGATGGACCAGCGGTTAGCCAGGTGTGTCTGGAGGAGCCGGCGCTGCACTTAATTCCCTTCTTCATGGAACCCGCCTGCGGCTCTTCAGGTTGGGTCTGCTGGGCAGCAGCCGGGCCAGGGTTGGGCTCCACTCCACTCAAAGGCACGTTCTACTCGTAACCACCTGGGCCCCCATTCAGTCTTTTTTTAAAAAATATATTTTATTGTTTTTTTTTACAGAGAGGAAGGGAGAGGGATAGAGAGTTAGAAACATCGATGAGAGAGAAACATCAATCATCTGCCTCCTGCACACCCCTCACTGGGGATGTGCCCGAAACCAAGGTACATGCCCTTGACCGGAATCGAACCTGGGACCCCTCAGTCCGCAGGCCCAGGCTCTATCCACTGAGCCAAACCGGTTTTGGCCCCCACTCGGTCTTGAGGGCGTCCGGGAGTCCTCGGAGTTGCTCATTAGAGGCAGGAGAGTGCTTTAACTCGGACAAATGGACTAGGATCCAGGTGCGAAGGAAGGCAGCAGCCTTGTCTTCCCTGTTTCTCACTCAGCCCTTGGGAACAGCACGCGAGAAGTCAGGCCTCCGTGGATGAACGGCCAGGGAGCCCTGGGGTTCCTGGAGCCTTTGCAGAGGGCATCGGGCGCTAGTCTGAACCTCAGTTTCCTCGTGGTTTAAGAAGTTACACCATCAGCCGCGTAGTGTTGCTGGCAAGAGCTAATAAAGTGTGTAAAGCAATGGTGTGCATAGTACAGGGAAGGAGCTTAAGAAATGGTTGTTTCTTTCCCTCTTTTTTTCTGACGCGAAAAAAGTACAGGTATTCGGTGAGGTTACTAAGGAGGGAAATCCTAGCGCTCTATCTGCTGTTCAGACCACAGCTAGGCCTTCGCTCCCAAGCTCTGTCCACTTGTCTATAAGACACTGACAGGAAAAGACTTTCTCTAAAACAGTGTCTCCCGCTCTAGCTGGTTTGGCTCAGTGGATAGAGCTTCAGCCTGCGGACAGAAGGGTCCCAGGTTTGATTCCGGCCAAGGGCATATACCTGGGTTGCTGGGCTGATCCCCCAGTGGGGGGCGTGCAGGAGGCAGCCAATCAATGACACTCTCTCATCATTGATGTTTCTATCAGTCTCTCCCTCTTCCTTCCTCTCTAAAATCAATAAAGTATATTAAAAAACAAACAAACAAAAAACAGTGTCTCCCAGAGGACACATCCCGTTGTGGTATTGCCGGTGAGAGTTGACAGGGTAATAACAGGCTGGCCTGCTACTCCCTTGCACTTTCAGCCCTTCTAATTACAGCCTCAAGTTGGAGAGTTTGCTGTCAACAACCCCTTTAGCACTTGCTAATCTCCCTTTTAAAAATAAAAGGACAAGCATCAGGCTCAGCGCTCTGGCAGGCAACAAAATTAAACTTGATATACCACGTAGGTTACTGGAAAAGATCTGGTTCTGGCTGTTGATTACCACCGTTAGTTCCTTTGGGGCTATAACATTTCCCTTTTTTGTATTGATTTAAACTTTTAAAAAAAGCAAAACTTAAGTGAATAATAATGTTTGTTTTTTTTTTAAATAATAATGTTTTGCCAGTAAGGCAAAAAGCATTAGGATGGTAGCCCTAAAGCTCACAGACAGTTGGTTACAGTGTAAAGTGTTCCACCTGGCTAACGTGTTCCTGGGCTGAAGAAAATGCAAGGAGGCAAGTAGTCACTAGGGAGAGGAAGTCAGGTGTTGCTACTTGAGATCATTACCCAGATGGAGGGAAGGACACTTAGCATATTAGATTTTTATATAGATAGATTGATTTCAGAGAGGAAGAGAGAGATAAATTTATCAATGATGAGAGAGAATCATTGATTGGCTGCCCCCTGCACACTTCCGACTGGGGATCAAGCCCCAAACCCAGCCTTGTGCCTTGACCAGGAATCGAACTGTGACCTCCTGGTTCATAGGTCGATGCTCAACCACTGAGCCACACCAGCTGGGTGCTTGCTTTTTTTTTTTTTGAGTGAGTTTCCTTGTTAGCAAGCAGTATAGGTTCCATTGGAAGCATTGCTATTTTCTGTGTGTCTTTTTTTCTCTTTAGGAGTCAGCATTGACAGTAGTGTTGGGCAGCTGAACTTCTTCATCACCATTTCCCTGAAACTGGCGCCAACTTGAAGACAAGATGAAGACTGTGCTCATGGTTGCAGAAAAGCCATCTTTGGCCCAGTCCATTGCCAAAATCCTCTCCCGAGGTAGGGAAGACCGACCCTGGTGTCTCTCTGGCTTAGATCTGTAGGGGGGTCATTCCTATTTTACACAGCGCTTCTCTCTTTTCCAATGTGTGATCCAGCCTGCTGGGTGGACTCGGGTCAGGGCAGCAGGCATTCACGAGGCACCTCGGTGTTGGCCACTGCGGGATGCGTTTTCTGCCGCGGCCAGCGGGAGCCAGGGCTGGGGCTCCCAGAAGGCCCAGGCGCTGTTCGCAGCGTAGCAGCAGGTGCAGACAGGCCACTGGGACAGCGCTGTGCTGGCCAGGGTTGTGGGTCACAAGCGGCAGGAACCAGCCCTGGTAACTTACACCAAAAGGGAATTAATTTACTGGAAGAAGGAAGACACAGCCAGAGCCACACCCTGGTCTAAGTCTGATAAGACCATGCCACAGGCATCACCACAAGACCCTTGCCATTACCCAAGACCCCTGACTGCCACAGTTCAGCCTACAGCCTCATGCCACTCAAGAGCAGCTGCTAGCTGAGCCTTGGCCCTGGCCCTCCCAGGACAGCAGAGTGCTGGGAGACAGCCTCTGCCCTCACCCCCACTCTGGCTACTGAGGTGCCCGGTGCTACTTCCCCTCCTGTCTCTGACTTCCCTCAAAGAGGAAGGGTATTTGGGTGCTGGGGACCCAGTAATGGCGTACGTCCACCCTGACCTCCCCTTGCTCCCAAGGCTGAAGGAGGGAGAGACCTTGAGACACTGGGCTGAAGAGGAGGGTGGACCCCAGAGCAGTGCTTGGTCCCAGAGGCTGGGAAAGTTTGGCCGAGAGGCCATCAGTGGGGAGTGTCAGACGACACTGGGATTCACTTACTAGGAGGTTCCTGGGGACTTGAGTACAGATGAGAGGAGCCAGGCAGAAATCAAACCAAGAGTGA